ATTGTTTTTCCCTTTCAACCCCTCCTCCTTCCCCTTCTCCCCCCTCCCAACTCCTTTCCTTCTACTCAAACACCAGCCCAACTCCAACAAATCCTCCACCGTCCTAATCACCAACCCGGACTTTGGTTTTTTCGAAATCGGCAGACACTTGATATACGCCATCATTTTCGTTGCCGATTCTTGATACGAGCTATGGATATTTTGATGTACGGTGGCGATGGAATTGTGATTTGTGTCGAGATACATGGGGTGAGTTTGGAGGGTGAGGGAATCTGATTTTGGGTTAGTTTTGTATTCCAAGGAGGAAAAAAGAAAGAAGGGTAAAATTGAGGGGAGATGCAAGATGAAGAAGGGGTATCGAAAATATGGAGGAGAGACATAATGAATCAAAAGAGGCATACGACCGACCACGCGAAAGAGAAATCTCAACGCAAAGCAAAGCAAAGCAACAGAAACCAAAAAAAAAAAAACATACAACAGTGGGGATTCGCTGGTGGTCACCCACCCAACTACTAATCCACCGATCTGAAGCTTGTGTATGGCAGAGCGGACGGGATGCCCAATTCTCTTCAGTCTATGGTCGTATGTGGAAGATAGTGCTTCGTTTGAACTTATATCCAGTCTCTGTGATTTTGTGAAATGTGGGAGAGAAAGATTGACATCTAGATTGAGAAATGGAAGTAAGCGACTTACTGAGAACTTTCCGTTGGAAAGTTTTACCTGGAATCCTGGAATATTCCACAGTGAGGGAATCTTGTATTGCTGTTTGTATATCAGTAATTATATTTCACGGAAATGATCGTTCCTTTCCTGAGAGAAGATAGAATGTATGAAAATCCAAGCTCACCAAAATCCTTCCTCCTGTCCCTATCCCTTGCTATATTCAAAGTCTTCATATCCACCAAATTCCCACAATAAGGAAACATCTTCTCACCCACCATCCTCCTAATTTTCTTCCCATTAATTATCACCTCGAAATTTGTAAGTGTCTTATCCGGATTTACAACTACTCCATATTCAGGTATTCCATCATGCATTACTTGCAAGAAGCGTTTCGCGTGCACGGGATTGAGCGTTATTAGTAAAAAGTCATCGATCAATCTTAGCAGCAGGCTTTCTCCAGATTGTAGAAAAGACAAATTCTTAGCTTCGAGATCCGCATAGAAGTAATTGCAGAGTAAAGAGGAAAGAACTGAGCCTTGTGGAATACCTTCTTTTTGACGGTAGAATTTCTTGCCAATTTTCACCATGTTGCGGGAGATGTGCTGAGCAAGGAGTTGGAGGAGAGAATTGGTATCACGAATTTGGTTAACGACGCTTTCGACAAACACAGTATTCTTTTTACTAATAGCGATGTCGTTTACGAGATCCTCATCGAAATTGTCGAGATGGTGGAGGGATTTGGCGTGGGATTTCCATCGTCGGATGGGTTTGTTTGGGGCACTAGGATCAGTGGCATAGGCGTCTGTGGGTTTGATCTCAACATGTTTCGCGAACCTGTACTCTGATTCAGAAGGAACAGTATTCATGAGCTTGATGACTGCAGCTTGAGGGATGGTGTCGAATGCAGCTTGGACATCGACCTTGGCAAAATAAAGGGGCTGTGTTGATGTATCGAGCGAGGCTTTGAAGGATTTGACCTTTTGATATAGATCGCCAACGGAGAAAAGTGTTGACCCAAGACGTCTCACATTATTCGCCTGTACACATCTATATTAGTTTTTGCCAGACACAATTGTTGATTACTCTTACCTTCTCGTGGGTGAGCACATTATGAATTGGGGTTAGCACGCTGTTAATACTGGCACCCAGCAGATGCTTATCACCCTTCTGCATTGCTCTTCTCCTCAAATTCATGATTGGTCGCACACCACTCTCCTTAGGTAATAATCGCATCTGACTGAAGCCTAATGTTCGGGATGAAAGTATCTGCTGGGCCTCTTCCAGTTTTACTTCCTCAAACATTTTTAGCTTCAAAGAAGCCAGAGCAGGCTCGGCCACTGATTTCCAAACATCATGACGAAAGAAGAAAAGTCGCTGCCGATGGACATTGGACTCAGTGACATGAAAATGTGATCGGACCAGTGGAATAAGAATTGAGTCAAACAGGTAGTATAGAAATTCAAGAAAGATTTCACGACATTTATTGAAGTCGGTCAGTGACAATTTTTGGTTCCAAGTACTTGGTGTTCCCAACCACTCAATCTCGGCAATCTATCAAATGTCAGCACATTGAAGTCCATTCATGAGAGAAAGAAGCTACCTTGATACCCTGCGTAACTTCATGAAGTGACAAAGCCTCAAATCTTCTCAGCCCAATGAAGTTATCCACATTCCTAAGAAATATGCCTTCATTGTATGCCTGCACATCTCCAGTACCCCAGAATTCATGTGGTATTATAGTCCGAAGCACAGCACGACAGAAAGCAGATACATCAGCAGTGGAAGTTGCATGATCCATCAAAGTTGGTTTTCGATCTGGAATTGAAGGGACACTTAAAGTGATTATGGGGGGATTGTGGCTTTGGTCAGAAGATTGGGTTTCAAATGATGTTAAGATAGATGAAGGTTCTTGTATGCCTTCTATATTGTAATTTTGATGCTTTCGATTCTGCAAATGTTAATAGAAGCCACGTTTTTTTTTTAAAATAGAGACTGACCGAACAATAATATTTCAACAACTTATTGTATGAGCACCTGGAGTGCAAAACCTGTAACTTTCTGACCAAATCCTTGACTTTTCCACGAAGTCTTTTGGGAATCTTGATGTTCTTTCCTTCAGGGTATCTTAAATCAATTTCTTCTTCACGTAAAGTGTAGTCTTTGAATGGCTGGGCAGTTTCTCGGCTGTCAACCTCTGAAGTAAAGACATTATGAAGATCAAATTGCCGAGGGAATATATACATTAGAATCCTGATGATATTTTTCTCGGGTCCTCCATGACTAGTCATAGCACTACCATTGGCTTGACATGGAAACCGATTCAAAATATCTATGCACCAAACAATCAGTCTGTGTTTGTCTTCCTGGCACAAAAATCACTTACGAATGTGTCGAAAGCCATATTGGACTTCACTCTGACCATTCAATGCAGCTTTTGCATATAACATCCGATTTCTAACAAAATTGATTTCCGCCGGGTTGTGCAAGACACCTGATTGCAGCTTTTTCTTTTCACTGGCTGTCTCGGCTACCTTTCCAAGAGTCTTTGCAACTGTGATAGTTGAGAGTTCACCTAAAGGCTGACCTGTTCATAGCCATCAGCCAGAATTGAGATAACGGAACAAACATATTCACACTCACCACTAAGTTGGTAATAACTGCCATATGTATTTTCTATTTGCAGAAAAATTCCACAATTAATAATCAAGTCACCCATTACACTTTCTCCAGCTTTTCCTAGTAAAGCAAGAACATGAGGCCATGGCCAGGCTTTCAAAGCTGTCACATGACTGTTGGGATATATTGAATTGACCCCAGGTATAGAAGTCCTAAGATTCTCATCTCTATGAACAGCACGGGAACTGATACCTTTACGATATCCCTGACAAAGTAAGTGCTGCAGTCTCCCATTTGAAGATTTTGACTTTGAAAAGAGTAACCAAATAGTGAAATCAACTATCTGACAAGGTTGTTAGTAGCCCGAGACAAGAACATTCCGGAAGAAAGATTGTTGATAAACACCCACCTCTGATTGAGAATAAAGATCACCACCACTTGAATTTGCAATGGTCGACAGAGAAATATCTCTTTGTGAAAATGAAGTCCATTCTTTCAATCTATCTTCCTGAGAAAGTCCATTGTTTGACGACACACCTATCAATGTGCCATCAAGAAAGTTACTCAGCTGACGGTCTTCATCCTCCTCTTCATCCTCACCACCTTGACCTTCGTTATTTGCAGAAGTCTTGCAACCCAGAGATGACAACTTCCTTTTGCGTACCTTGGAGGACACTGGAAGCTTTGATAACAGATAATCTCGAAGACATAAGACATTGGGGTAATATTTGGTCAACAAAGCTTGCTTTACAGGAGGATCCTTGCTACTGCAGAAGTCTCTCCTGACCCTTTGACGTTTATTGAGATCTGTAAGGCCAGTGCCAGTGCCAGTGCCAGTGACAGCAGCATGATTTCTCTTTCTCTTTCTCTTATTGGCCATGTTCAGGACTGGTATTTCCTAGAAAGTTTGTTTTTGTGTTTTTTGACAGTGGACCATTGTTCCTGGAATCCTGGAGATCCCATAAACTAGATGTCGATCTTCCAAATGAGATAGGTGCAGCAAGATTCCTGGTACCAGATCAATTATGCAGCCTTATGAAAGTTGTGAGGCTGAGCTTATTAATTATTTGAGAAGTCAACAAGTAAGCAACCCCTTCATCTTATCAACATGTAACACAATATAACATTGAAGTTTCAATTTATAAAGTAAGGGGACATGGATGATTGTAACAAGCAAGGAGTTGTTTCAATTGGGGTTAAACCAAATCAAATTACAGTAGAGCAAAAGGAAGAAAAAGAGAAAAAGCCTGGGCCGGATGTATTTATGATCCTTAAATTTCCATAATTGATCATTGAAGATTATCGATAACCGATAAGACTTGACTGAACTTGGATTTAACTTGCTTACAACTAGAAGGGATAATGAATTGTATGATGTTGATTAAAGTCGGATACTACTGGCTTGTCAATATATAAAATAGAATGATATAAATTGAAACCTTACGATTATTCCTAAAAGAAAAAGATCTTGGATCAACCATGTAGATTATGGAATAGACCATCTAATCGTATCAATAGTATTGGTATTTCAGTTCTTTTTTCTCTCAATCTTCAGAGGCTTTTGAAGGCAAATGAATGGATGGATGATGGAGTGAAGACTGATACTCGAGTACAACCTATTAAACAATTCAACCTCTAGAATGTGAAGCCTTCATTCACATCTTGACAAAAGTCGAAGGTACAGTTGTATCACAATCAGTAGTAGCCAGTCTTGGGGCAAAGCACGAAACCAACGGCAGAAGAACTCGTAATATATATCTCCTAAATCCATCATAACCATGAAACTGTACAGAGTTTTCTCCTACCCTTGAGATTTTCACCTGTCCCATTACCATTATTGAATATTGCCTCAATGGCTGATTTCATTTCAATTAATTAACTTGACAATGTCATTTGTTGAAAATATACACACCACTTTGGCAGTATTGTGCTTTGCTTATCGGGTTGATCTGCTTTGGTCACTCACTTGTCTACTTCAAGTATCTATCATACAACACTTTTACTCGTACTTTGATCTACCTAGTACAACCATTTCATTCACATCTAATTCCTTCAACTCTTCTTCAAAATTTAAAACTCGAAAAGCAACAATTTCAAGTGTTTGTGGAGAAAATCAACAAGCTATCTTCCCCCCCCCCTTCCTCCCCCAACACTAAACCTCTAACCCATAATTGATTGCAATCCATTCAATTGCATTGCATGCATAACAACCGCAACCACGACCACGACCACGACCACAACCAACCCTTCTCCCGCATTATTCTCAAAATGCAATCAGCCCTCGTCCTATAATTCTTCCGTTCAACATACTGCCACTTTCATTCAATTTGCCCCCCTCGTACGCCCTTGCGGAGAGCTCAAGGATAAGGTCGGTTGCTCAAACCAAATCCATCGAATCAGCTCCAAGAATTCCAAGGGCCATTCAACTTCTGCCACAATTGTATGGATCATCGGTAAACAACCACAGCATTACCATCGCCCAGAACCAGAGCACGAGCTTAGACAGATGTTGACGCACAATGGAGAATGGATTTCTAGATGACCAGAATTTCTATTCTAGGCCACCTTTTCCCCAGTCCGAAGCTCAGTCCCCAGCGCAATCCCAATCCCAGTACTCGTCGGATGTGAGTTCACAACACCGGCAAATACCTTCTTCCACCTACGAATCTCCTCACCTTTCTCAAGTATCCGATTTCGACCCGGCACCTCCTCACCCTCCTAAACTACCTCTCCTTGACACTACGAACGTACAAGCAATAAAATCGAATGGGTACATGAACAACTTGGATGATGGTGGAGAGCCAGATGATTTCTACAGAGATTATCAGCCATACCAACAAACAAACAGCCCTTCGAACCAATTAATGGACATGGCTGCTACAGCATCAGATGTTAGAGTTAGATCAACCTCTTCTTCAGTGCGATCAAATAATACCAGCAACCTACCAAAACAAACTCCTTCTACCTCTAGAACCTCAACGCGACCACCCTTCGGCTCGCCTGTTGAAAGCAATCAAAAGCAATCAACAAGGCCACTGGTCAATGGATATGGAAAGGCACCACAGCAACCAAGCGTGAAGGATCTTTTAAAGCGCTTTGATCAGAATAATGATCAATCCCTCCCCATGCCGCGGAAGCCTGTGGTACGAACAAAAGATGGTACCGGCATCAATTCTGGATCTATGAGAGATCGACCCAATACATATACTTCCCGCGTAGCCAGTAACCCAGGACCTACAACTACCAGTTCATCGTTAAGGGCAGGCAATACCACGAGAGATCCTGGAATAGCCAGAGTTAAATCGCCTCCATCTGGCACCAGAACAATGCAACGGCCGAGGTTTGCACCTGAGGACCAACATTTAAATCATGCACCCTCGGGCTCCCCTCGCAGCATTCGTGCGAGGAATACACCAAGTCTCAAAGCCAGTCCAACTTCGAAGTCGATGAATAATCTTTCGCCAGCACCTCAATCTCAACTGCCACCTCCGGTACCTGAGAAGCGTCCCCTGTTTGGCGAGATTTTGACTCTTAACCAGGGTGCATTCGAAGCTGGTTATGGCATATCAATAGCGACGCGAAGGACATCTGAATCAGGTTTACCTCCCATTATCTCGACGCAACAACGCAGCCTCACAGATGTTGATATATCTCCAACTTCGCCAACGGCGTGGTATCTAGGAGTAGCCACATCACTTGGTGATGTAGAACCAGACAAGCCGCGAAGATCAGGCCACAACCGTGCTCATAGTGATTTTGCAGACACCAAAGTAAATACTATGCAAAATATCAACCGCTCTTCATTTCTACTGCCAGAATCCCCCATCGATGCCAAGGAGTCGGGTCCAACCTTTCTGCTGAATTCTCTGCCAAATGTAGAAGATCAGACTGAACCCAAAATTCAGCCAACCAAGCTTTCGTCTCGACTTCCTGTTGCACTTAAACGTTTGAGCAGTCAATCGGAAACATCAAGTTCGCCCTCAACGCGTGCTAGTTCTCCTCTGGCTGGCAAACGCACAGCCAATGGTAAACTTCCACGAGACAATCGACCATGGAGTCCTGCGGGTCGCTCAATAACACCAGCAAATCGTTCTATCACATTGAACAATCGTGGCAAGTCGGGTAGTCCGGAAAAACCTTCGAGCAATGGTAGTTTGAAGGCTTATATTTCTGCACCACCCGCAAAGAATTCCCCGCCCTTACGAAGTTCACGTCCTCGGCAAACAGTTTCCGCAGCATCGACCGCTAGCTCAAGACAGAAGACAGTTGATGGATCAGCTTCGCCGAATGACCCAAGAGCTCGGACGAAAGTGACTAGAACTGGTAGAACCCCTGAGACGAAAGGACGTAAAGCGATGAACACCGAGCCTGTTAATTATGCAGCACGACGAGCACAAATCACACGAGCATATACAAAGTCGATCCATGAGTCTGAGCAGCAGAAAGTTCGAGCAGCCAACACGCGCCGTGTCATTGAAAACAGCACCCAAGCTACAAATGGCGAGGAAAGCTCCAAGAATGAACAGACGAATGCCTCTACAAACCCTGATCAGATACCAGATATGCCATCAATAGGGCCCGAACCTCTACAGATCATGACAAACTTCGAACCACAAACTCTAAAGCCACCAGTCGAGCGTCAAATAGAGATAGATCAAGATTCGCCAACTTTGGGTGTCACTAATGGTATGCCTGGAGCATTTATTAACGAGGATGTGCCAATGTCCGCAATGTCTAATGTTTCCGCCACTACTTTTATTGAAAATGAAGCGCAGACAGAAGCCGCTCGCCTGGCTCGTATTCCATCCATGGAGCCTTCTGATTCCGTTGCAGTGCTTTCTCAAGTTCTCGAAGCACATGAGTTTAATTCTGATGACCAGGCAGGAACTAATGCACACTCTTTGGGAATGTCAATAACAATTATTCCAAAAGAAACCACTATGACTGAGGATACCCTTGGAATACTGCCAGAAGAGTCTATTGGTCATGATCTGACACTAGAAGCAATCTCTGGAGATCTGTCAAATGCTAACGCCTACGATGAGTTGGCCATAGTATCAGTTGAAGAACCTCCAAGCCCGAAGACTTTGGTATCAAAAACTGTTAATTTAGATTCCATTGATCGTATCAATATCGAAACAGCCCCTCCTGCAAGCATCAACTATGACACTGCTCAGCCCACTGGTCTGGGGTTATACAATGAAAGTGCTCAACAGCTGCTGGATATTCCCATCAAAATCGAAGAAGAGCCGGATGAGTCCCGTCTACACCTAGAGCCACGTGCATATTCCCGGGAAGCCCTCCGACTTGGTTTGCCGGCATTTCGTACCGCCCTTGCCGAGTCCTTGTCACCACCAGAGGATGATAGACAAGCGGAAATATATACTCCCATGGAAATGGACTACGAAAGCTCCGAGGATATTGGTGCGGGAAACACCGGGAACACGAGCGAGCAAGAAGATTTATACGGACCCTCTTATGACCAGAACCGCGAGCTATATCTCACATCCGATGCCTACCGCCGTGAAAGCCGCCATTCTGCTTGGACCGATTTCTCAGTTGCCACGACGGATGATCCAGTCTCACAAGAGGAGAATCAGAAGTGGATAAACACGAAGACACTACCTCTTGAACCGGAAAAGGGACCTACACCCCCTCCGAAGTTACCTCCCTCTCCTGTCCCACTTATGCTAGCCGAGGATGCAGACTTCGCGAACTCTTCTGAGCGGGAGCTGCCTCCATTGACATCCCACAATGGGTTTGGTCTTGGTTTTGATCCGGACATCATATATAGCGTCCCAACCGCCCCAGTATGGACCAGTCTCACACCTCCACCGGCCACAGGACATACTTCTCGGAAGGAGGATGCGATTGCTAAATTAGGTCCTCCTACGCGTACACCCCCTCCTCCTACTCCTTATGATAGTCGACCAGAATCAAGCGTCTATCAACCAAGCTACCATACAGCTAGCCAAAATACCGAATCCAGGCGCCCTAGCGATGACTTATATTCGCCGCGGCCTTCCCTTTCGACGCCTTCCCTTTCCACACCTAGGTCAAGCATGCAAATATCTCAGGAGGATATATCTCTAGGCTATAGCTACCCCACTCCTAAAATTCCTCAGCTGCCTCTTACGGAGGAAGAGCAAGCAGTCGCTAAGAAGAGAAGCACTCGTTTGTTTACTCGACGAAAGATCATCGAGGAAATAATTGATACAGAGGCCGCTTATCTCAAAGACATGAATGTCGTCGAGGAAATTTATAAAGGCACTGCAGAAGCATGTCCGAAATTGGATTTTGGCGATATCAAGACCATCTTCAGGAATACCGATGAGATTATAGTATTTTCAACAACGCTGCTGGATGACCTGAAGAAAGCTGGGGCGGCTGTCTATACATCCAAGGCCCGTGCCAGACAAAGTCGAACTACTAGCTCTACATCAGCAACGACTACCACAGCAAACACTCCTGCATCTCTGAGTCCCAATGATAATTGCTCAGATCCTCCGGAATTCAACGATTTCAACGAAGAAAAGGATCGAAAGACCTTTGTTGGCTACACTTTTGGGCAGCATCTCAGGAAGATGCAAGAGGTCTACACTGAATATTTAAAGAACAGCGAGTTGGCAGCCGATCGCTTGAGAATATTGTCAGCGGATCCTGCAGTCGACGTGTGGCTTATTGAATGTAACAATGTTGCAAAGGATTTGACGGCTGCTTGGGATCTTGATGCTCTACTGGTTAAGCCAGTCCAACGAATCACTCGATACCAGTTACTACTCGATAATCTCGTAAAATATACAGCTGAAGATCACCCAGATTTCAATGCTCTTACGATTGCAATTCAAGAATTGTTGAATTTATTGAAGAACATCGACAAGCTCAAGGAACGTATCCAAGTCGTTGGGAAGATCGTTGGTCGAAAACGCAAAGAATCAGAGGTCCGCCTCGGACTAGCGAAGGCATTTGGACGGCGATCGGAGAAGTCAACTTCTAATGTGGTTCGCCCCCATGATGATGAACTATTTATCAAGTTGCATGAGAAATTCGGTCACGATTACCTACGACTGCAAGTAGTAATGCGTGACGTTGAATACTACACTCGACAAGTTGCTACTTGGGTCAACGACTTTCTCAGATTTCTTTCTGCTATGGAACTTATCATGCGACACAGTCCATCCTCATATCCAGAAATGGAAGCTCGATGGTCTCAATTCAATCAATCCATGAGAGATATGGGAAGCGTTGCTCTGGAGAATCATGTAAGCATCTTTTCATTGCCAATTGAATTATCGGAAGCTAATATGAACTAGGTGGGTGATATCCGAAAGCAAGTCATTGACCCAATTGAGACCGTGATTCGATTGTATACAGGGCCTACTGAGTTCATGAAAAAACGTGCAAAGCGGCGCGTAGATTATGAAAAGTGGATGGCTGCCAAGGCCAGTGGCAAGAAGGCCGACGAAAAGCTCCAAGTGTTAGCCAAAGAATACGACGCTTTGAATGAAACTTTAAAGATGGACTTGCCTCGGCTCTCGTTCTTGACTGCGCAGGTAGGTCAAAAGGTTCTTGCTAGCCTTGTCTCGAGTCAAACCGCATGGTATTATATATGGCAAGAGAAGGTCAAGACTGTGTTGGATGCGAACCAAATGCCGATGAACGAACATGATATAATACAATCATTTGACCGGGACTACAAGTATGTTCTCGCGCAAACCCAAGAACTTCGTCTCATCAATGGCACACTCGAGGTCGACTGCTTTTTGGACAGACTAGATTCAACCCCTCTCGCCAGTATGAAGGACAACGATTCGGTGAAGGCCAAAGGCAGACTGTCTGAATCGTCTGCTCGACCACGAGGGTTGTCCTTGGCAGCCCCACATGATACGTCTCCAAGTCTACCAACGCCTGATTTTGCGAAGCGACATAGTGGACAATTCTCCTTTTCGCCGATTCTGGCAAGTGGACCTGGTCTTCCGGCGCATGCTCCTTATCAACCGGCCGCTTACTCTAATGGGCATTCGCGTCCTGGTTCGGGCTCTCCTGCAACACCCGATGCCAGCGCTTCTCGATTCTATGGCTCTACAAGACCATCAACATCACGCAGTATCGCTTCGGAGAATGGTGGTGGAATTCCGAGAATCAGTACAGACCTTGGACATCGTAGGGAATCAAGCTCTACTCAAGCATCTGCATCGTATATGGTGGACGGCCCTCTTCGCGACCAGCGACCTTTCTCTGGCATATTTCATTCGGCAATGCCATTGCCCGATGGACCCGAGGATAGCGCTCGGTCTTCAAGAGCCTCTTCAATGGATCGTGCCCATGGGAGTCGGTACAATGTCATCTACCTAGCAGCAAGCTTGTTCGAGTTTAACATTGAGGCAACTAAGACCGAAGCAGGTTACCCCTATCTGACCTATTCAGCCGGTGAAGTAAGTCTGAAATCAATTGTGCCATCCTCTCTGCATACTAATTTGTTTTTAGATCTTTGATGTCATCGGAGAGAAGGGCGAACTCTGGTTGGCTAAGAACCAAGATGATGACTCTGATCAAGTTGGCTGGATCTGGAGTAAGCACTTCGCTCGTCTTGCCACGGATTAAATAATTTCTACGATCTTCAACATATTTCTTTATTTATTCATTGGCGAAGGCACGCTTTTAATCGAATTGGCGTTGAAATACCTGTACTCATTTCCAAAAAAAAATGAAAGGCAGCATTTCATGTGGTCGGTCTACTGGCGCAAATAGGACGGGGTCGAAGATTCAAACTTAGCGACATTAGATGATTCTGCGGAGTCTTCTTTGATTTTAATCCGGCTACAGTTAGTCATTGCCACATACAGGTGCGGGTGGAAGAAAGGGGCGTTCTTGTTCTAGTAGTGGGCGTTCAAATAAGCCCATGAGCCTGGTGTTTTCTTTTTTTCTTTTTTTACTTCTTAAGTTCTCTAAAATCGATAAGATTGTTTAGAGCGCCTTTTTTTTCCCGGAGCGATTCGTTATGATAAGATGGATGAATGGTTGGACGGACGGACGGGACAATAAGTATGGCATGGATTTTATTTATTTTCGAGAGTTTAGTTCGTAGGGTTCTGGTTTGTTAATATGAATGGATGTCTAGGGCTCATGATATGCATGAGTCGATATCCTTTTTTGTCGGAGTTACTTTGTTTTAGTTGTGAATATACCAACGGGAGAGCAATAGGAATACAGAACAAGGGAGAGAGAGGAGTGAATGGAATATGTGGTGAGAGTGGAAATACTAGGGCAGGGGTTGAAGTGGGTGGTGAAATGGATGGGATGGGATGGAATGAAATGGACTTGACTTCTTACTCTCAGACGAGAAACTTTCTTTTCTTTGTTGTTTTTGTTTGGAGTGGAGGATGGAGTGGAGTGGGAGTGAAGTGGGAGTGAAGTGGGAGTGGATGGAAGGGGAATCATGGGAGAAATGTTTGGAGAGGCGAAGATTGGGGAAAGGGAATGGGAAATAAATATGATGGATGATGATGGATGGATGGATACCCGAGGATTATGTATGTATGTATGTATGTATGTATGTATGTATGTATGTATGTATGTACCTATGTATGTGTGAAGGAATGAAGGATTTATTAATTGTCAGTGTTGGACCTCTTTTCTTTTTCTTTTGTCTACTCATATGCGAGGAGGAAAGAATGGATGGAAAGAAGGAAGGAAAGTAAGTAAAGGAAGAGTCAAAGGGCGGACGAGATCATCATACCAGTGAGTTTCTAGGAATGGAATGGGATGGGATATGGAATGAACGATTGATTGAATAGTTGTTGATATGGTATGGTATGGTATGGTATAGAAGGGAGGTATAAGAATTTCTAAAAAAATTGATCAAGCTATCAAGCTATGTATGGATTCCCTTGCTTGCTTACTTACTTTACTTACTATACTTACTTTACTTACTTACCATCCATCCCATTTGAATACTTTAAATACTTTACTCGAGTACTTTGATTGAGAAATTTAATTGACTAGGCTAGGCTGAGCTGGGCTAGGGGGGTGAGTGAGTGAGTGGATAATTTGCATTTATCAGATTCATATGGGACGGGAGGGGAGGGGAGAAGGTAAGGAGAAACAATCCTCTCCCAATTTTCTTTTTGGAGAGGAAATTCGAATCGATGAGTCTCTTGTTTTTCCTCCGCTTTTTGTTTATTTGGATCTGAGTTTGAGTTCGAGTCGCTGAATCTGGATCTGTGGATCTGTGAATCTGTGAGTCTGAGTCTAATTCTCTGAGTCTCTATTATTCCCTCGCTACCCCCCTTACTCTTATTTTCTCCCTTTTCTTCTTATAGTACTCTCTACTCTCTACTCGAGTACTCTTTTTTCCCCTTCTCCTCTCTTTCGCTTCCCCTCTTTCCCCTTATTATTCTGCTTATTTGATTTTTGTGTTGCTATTGCTATGATGGTTACTATTATTATTATTACTTGAGTATTAAAAACAACCTTTGCCTTTGAATATAACCTTTAAAGATTGACAGATTCAAATATTCAACGATCTCTATAGAGACTTACAGATTTGAAGATTCACAATACACAATATATAACGTATAATAGATAGCTACTCGAGTATCAGTTCAATATCTCTTATATACCTTGGATTAGTCCAATACATAGCTTCACCTCACATGTTACGAGTACAATATAATCCACAACTATAAGTATAAGTATAACCACAACTACGACTACAGCTATAATCACAATTATAACCACAACTACTCGAGTACAAGTATAACATCTCTCACAATATCATAGACTTACAGACTTATACATCCCCGGACCAGGCCGGGCTGGGCCAAACTTGAACTCTATGAGCTTTATAATTTATAAATTAGTCCATTTGATTCCTTGGACTCTTGTTCTTATTACTATTCTTACTGTCATCCTGACTCTTATCTTACTTCAATTATGCAGTATCCAGTATCCAGCATTACTAGATGTATCTAGTACCATCTACCCATCTAGTACCATTTAATACCATATACTCAGTAGAAAAGGAAAGGAAATATATACGATTGATATATATACAATACTAGTAATATGATACAATATAAAATTACCCTTTAAACCTTTATATAACCATGTTCCCCCCTCTAACTAAGAAAGAAGTTCCTTGATATCCTCAATGCGCTGTAATTTCTTCTCCTCATCACTCATCATGCCAAGGGAACTCGCACTATTTTTTTGCATAAAGTGTTAGCATTGATACCAAATACCAAATATCATCTTCCATCTTCCATATTCCACTCCCTCAACATAAACCCCTCATCCCAGCAAAAGAAAAAGAAAAACTCACATAAACCTCTTCCTCCCCTGCACCCTCAACATTCTCTCCTCCACACTCCCCTTCACAATAAACCTCTGCACCCTCACCTCACCCGCCTGTCCCATCCTATGCACGCGATCAATAGCCTGCGCCTCCACCGCCCAACTCCACCACGGATCCATCATAAAAACACGCCTCGCCATCGTCAAATTAAGACCCACGCCGCCAGCCCTCAAGCTAAGTAAGAGTACCACTCCCCCCGCACAATCTTTGAATTGTGTGAGGACCGCCACGCGAGCTTTTTGCGACATGGATCCATCGAGGCGGAGGAAAGGGATCGAGGAACGCGTGAGGGCCGGTTCGATTAAGGAGAGAAATGAGGTGAATTGGCTAAAGACGACGGACTTAATGGAGGGGGAATCCTTGCGGAGAGTTTTGAGATTAGTTAGGAGAGCGGCGATTTTAGCGGAACCGATGGCGCCGAGGCGCTGAAGACTGATTTTAGGTTTACCGTCTCTGCTTTCGGGATGACCTTCATCTTTCACCACCTCGAAGATGTCATGCGAGTTGAGGGATTCGCGACAGCTGAAACAGCGGGGTGCGTCGCCTTTGTCGGTTTGATGTTTGATGTAATCGAGGAGACATTTCTTACAAGCCGAGTGCCAGCAACCGGTGACGGTTTGTTCCATCATGGGTTCTTCGGAGCAGATGGGACATTCATTTTCGGCCTCGTCGCGGATTTGTTCGAGCACGTGCGCACCAAATGTATGGGTATCGATGGCTTCTTCGTTGAGCTTGAAGCGCTCAATGAGATTCTGAAGGTCCATGTCGTCAGCGAGACCGCTTGCGGCGTCGGCGACTTCGGCGGCATCTTCTTCATCTGCGACTAGGTTTTGCTTGCGGGTGAGGATGGGATGACAGCATGATTGGCGAAGTCGGAGTATTTGAGCAAAGATGCTGGTGTAGGCCTTGAGAACGGTGCCTGCTTCTACGTTGGCTGAGAAGGTACGCTTGGCTCTCGTGAAGATGTGATCATAGACTTCGCGTTCAGGTTCTGATAGTTCGATTTCGACGATTTCGATCGTCTTCTTGGGTAGAGGAACCAATGCTTCTCCGGTTGGCGTTTTCATATCCTTAGTCCGGCGAAGTACCAAGGGTTCAAGGACTGTCTGAACGACGTCGAGGGCGCGCATGAAGTCTTTAGATTCGAATGGGATTGTGATAAATGTTTTCCAGAAGGAGAAATTGTTCCAAGGTTCCACTCTTAAGAATCGGACCAAGCTGAAAAGATCTTCTAATCGATTGACGATGGGTGTACCAGTGAGTGCCCATCTATGCTCAGCAGCAATTTCATAGCCTAGAAAATAGTTAGTATAGGGGTTTACGGAATGTCAAGACTAAAAGCGAATGGGCGGTCATGTTGAATACCAAAGATGTACAAGTGACTTACATGCTTTCGCAGTTTTGGACTGCCTGTTTTTGATATGATGAGCTTCGTCCAGAATCACACGGAAGAATGAGAGAGAAAATAAACCGCCATGACCACCTCTATCACCGTTCCTGGCAGTAACTTGATTGAATTCGGATAAAATGACACCATAACTCGTAATGACAACATTAGGAGCTGATGCAGCATTAGCCTCACAGCAAAGAGCCTGAAGATTTGCAGTTTTATCACTACCATAGTAAACAATACTCTTCATGGTCCCATCTTTAGAAGCATTTTCGGCTTCACTCTGCCATTGAGCAAGTAGCGACATGGGTACCACCACAAGAGTTGTACAAGGAGCCCTTTCTACATATGATGAATTGGCTGGAAGTCGAGGAAGACTATTCACGGATGTGACCTTGGAGAGTTTCTCATCGAGTTTCATGGCCACATCAGACTTGTTAGAGTGAATAAGACTCATCATCTCAATTGTTTTTCCCAGACCCATCTCATCGGCAAGAACACCTCCAAGACAATGTTGTTCTTGAAGAGGAAACTCCAAGGAAAGCGCACCAGAATATGGGTTGACATAGAAATTATTTTGATCGGCCACCTGAACAACCTCTTTATCATCCATGTCCTTCAAGGGCCACGCATATTCTTCCCACAGCGGATGCATCGAGGCTTCTCTCTTCTTATCTTTCTCATCGCGCTCCTTCGCCATCATCCAATATAATGCTTGCTTTTGATATGGTCGCAGATCCATCGCAAAACTTTCTGCGGGCTCAGCCTCAGGCGCATTGAAATCAAAGGATTGAGCTTTGCTGTATAGAGTGTCAAGTTGGTCCTGCTCAAGTTCTTTTCCATCCTCCGCTTCCTCAGACGGGGGAGTAGAACCGCCCGACTCGGGAACTTTAGATTCGTCTTTATCATAATGTTCAGCTGCCTCTGCAGCACTCAGAAGCCCCTGACGCTTATGTTTCGCCATTGCTTCATTCGTTTGAGAGGGAAGTAGGTTGATCTCCTCGAATAACTTTACTAACGCGACCTGACGTAGTCTTAAATCTTTTTCTTCAGAACTTTCCTTTTCTTCAAAAAGCCCAGTAGTCCGGTTGTCCGGCGCCTGAAAGCCGCGGTCATTGAAAGCAGTCTTTAATAATGAGCATCGGAGCTGGAGAAATACAGTATCATTGGTACGAATTCTTTCCGGTGCGTATACACATGTACCCTCAAACTTGCATATTTTTTGATCAATCAATGTAGAAACCCAGTTTGCGGTTTCGCGAGGAAGGCGGCCAACCTCAAATCCCTGTGAATTGGTAAAGCGTACAATTACATCGACACGCCGAGCCGCCGCGCTGTTAGGTTTGGGTAGTGTCTGAGCAACTAAAGTTTTGCTTTTCCCCCTTCCAACCGGCGCCTTAGGTGGTTGTATCTTTTGACGTTCTATCCGGACAACTTCGTCATGCTTGATGAGATTTGTCCCACTCTTTGTAGCCCAACCCCCAACCCCAAAAGCTCCTATATACCGGTATTCTGGCATGATTCGATGTGGCGAGACTGTTCTTGACGAGCCATTTGATTTTGGAGAGACTGGTTGAGAGACGTTGGCAGGCTTCATAAATGAACTAACAGTGCCCTTAGGGTTCGACGAAGACCGAGCGAGCCCTGAGACGACTGTAGACTCTTTCCATGATCCATCAAAGTACATATTCACAGCTCTCTCGATATCATTTCCAGATGCCTCTCGCAACCTCTTCAGTACTTCGGGAGTCACCTTGTCGCCGATAAAGCTTTCGAGCGTTTCCTGGTTGAATATAGTCTGCGACTGCGAGTCTCCAGCAAAGGCCTCTTGTTCTCTGACTGGATCATCTTGTGGATCTTGTTCTGCGGTTTCGTTTATCGGAATCTCAATTGCTGGAGGCAGCGCGTCGACTCCGTCAGGTACATTTGTCGCCTCCTGCCCTTGTGAAGGCTCGAAACCCTCAGCCTTTTCTGTAAAAAATCGTCTTCTTTTCGTTGGGCGTCCCTCCATTTTCTGCAAAATTTATGAGAATATCGTGTTTGAAATAAATCCGTTAATTCAAACCGAGAAGAAAAGTAAGTGCAACTGAGTGATATTCCAGAGTTGATTTAATGTAAAACGCGAGGTCACGCGTTTGGACGTACAGACGCGACAAAAATTAAATATAGATTTCAGTGACGTCGGGATTTTAATATCACCTTATCCTTGTCGATGTTATTGTCTACCACCCTTCTGTCAATGTATATAATCATTTGAAGATTGATATTCTAAGATTCTAAAAGAAAATATAATTCGCAGTTCATTCATCAATTGGCTACCACAGGAATCAATTCCAATGTACAAATTGCAAACTCTCCCACGGCTTCAGAGCTGTTCTAAGGCGTATCTTAGTTCAAGATGCGCCTATGCTACGACGTCCTATAGTACACCTGCGCCATATGCCTCTAGATTATCGGAAGAAGATATAAATCAAGCCAGGACATATTGTTCCAATCTTATACAGTCAGTTCTGCGAGTTCTGTGAGTTTTTCAAATCCCCGTGTCTGATCAATTCTAGAAAATTTGATTCGCCATCCTATACTCTACAAACCTTCATTCCTCCCTCAACGAAAGATGCCTACCTTTCAATCCGTGCTCTCAATATTGAATTAGCCCGCATTCCAGATATTGTATCCAATTCAACTGTCGGAGCTCTGCGCATGCAATTCTGGCGAGATAATTTGAATCGAACATTTGCGAATACGCCTCCAAAAGAACCCGTCGCTATCCTTCTACATCATGCGCTCACGACTCTCCAATCGCGATATGAAGGAATCAGCACAAGTGTGATGAAGGGATGGTTCATGAAGGTCGTCAATACGAGGGAACAGTACATGGATAATCGACCTTACACAAATATGGAAGCGTTAGAAATGTACGCGGAGAATACATATTCAACATTAATGTACTTGACATTAGCAACTTTGCCTCTTCAATCGATGGCAGCAGACCATGTTGCCAGTCATATTGGTAAAGCGGCTGGAATTGCTGCAGTTCTAAGAGGTTTGCCACTTATAGCATTTCCGCCACCACCGAATCATCATAGCAATAATGGCGGTGCCCTTGGTGGCAATGCTGGCAGTCGTCAAGGGGCAGTGGTCTTACCATTAGATGTTATGGCCGAAACCGGTGTTAAAGAGGAAGATGTGCTGAGACTTGGGGCAGAAGCTCCCGGTTTGAAAGATGCCATATTTACAGTGGCGACAAGAGCAAATGATCATTTGATCACTGCCAGGGAAATGTTAAAGAACCTCCAAGCAGGTAAAGAAGCAGGTCACGAGTTCGAACATCAAGGTGAGGACGGTCACTACTATGCAGAAAGTGAGAACACCCAGGTCAGCGATATGGAAAGAGGTTTTGGTATCTTTATGCAAGCCGTCCCTACAAGATTGTGGCTTGAAAAACTGGAAAAGCTGGATTTTGATGTCTTCAGGCCAGAGCTTCGGGCAAGGGAGTGGAAGTTGCCATACAAGACATACTGGGCATATACTCGGCGAACCATTTGATGTAATAGTATTCACAATAAGTATACTCTTTCAGTCAACGATGTGTGATCTTGCCGCCATATCGAAGTCCGTGGCTCATTGCTCATTAATTGAGAGAGTTGAGATTTTAAATATGTCGTGGACCCAAGTCATATTTACATTGACCTCAAAAACTCCTGCAATGTGATCTTAAATCCAGTCCCATCTTCGACATTAATATCCAATCCAAGTTTCGATCGTGACAATGTCCATCGCGGAGCTAATTATTCAACCCTCAAGATATCCTCCCTGCTCAGCTAGGCCATCATAACCCGCGATTCCCCAACCCAAACCAACCCATCCATCCCAACCCCCATCCTCAACCTCAGTACCTCCACCCCACCCCAATCCTCTCACTCCCAGGTCCATATCTCGCATCCCTCTCCCCACACCTGCCATGCGCATACAAGCCGGTATTCCTACACTCCCACGAGCAATACTCATCAACGAATTTCGGGCGAATATTCCAGCGATTCGGCATACATTCGCGCGGGATCTCAAAGGGAAGACCCGGCCGTGCGAATTCTCGCGGATCGTTGATCCGTGCTAGTTGCGCGTAGAGGAGGTAACAGTTGGATCCCGCGTGCAGAGTGCGGTGTCCGCATAGTGGTTCTATGCTCCAGTAATTGCACATGCTTGCGGGGTGTGGTTTTGGGTTTGGGGTGTGTGGGATATGAGATCTAGAATATGAAAAATGAATAGAGGACCAACTCAACTAGCAGAAAAGAGATCACCAATCAATGATGACCCAACACTACCACCGTACAAAAAAACAAAAGGACATCGGAATACAAAGCCACAGAAGCAATACTTATAAAGGAAACACAGGCCCAGCCCTCATCAGCATCATCACGATTCCGCCTTCCCCAAAACGAGAAAACCCAGCGAAAACCACCCAGGTAACACACAGACCAGCTTTCAGAGATAGAATATGAGTCTTCCTGCGCTGTACACGTACGCACGCAAAGAAGACTCTGAGCTGATAGGCAGACGGCCCATCCCATCATACCATCCCCGGATATTCGTTCCAAACTAAAACTTCAAACTTCAAACGATACACCTAGAATAGCATATATATCTCCGATGACAAGACAGACAAGCGTGAGCTGATGAGCTGGAATCATTACTAGATCCTCTAATCGGAATTGAAACCCATCGTGTTGATTGTATTATATTGTGTGGTGGAGATGTGATGTGATGTTGATGCGTGAGTTTGGTCGGTGCTTTGGACAAACCTCAAACAGCTACACAAGAAGATGGGATGGTGGATCCCGCGTCAGCTGTTTGTTGAGCCTCTGACTGTGAGGAAGATTGTTTCATGCAGGGTATGAAGGAATAGAATGGGCAAAATGGGACGGGCAAAGAGGATCTTGTGTTACTTTGATCGGAAGAAATAGTTTGCTAAGGAAGGGTCACGGGAAGCTATGATCATGCTCAACAATTAAGAGAATCAACCTAGTATAATTGGAAAATTTCTATTTCTAACAAATCTGGGTATAATGAAGCGAGAAGAAAGCACTTGAAATCTATTGTAGCAAGTTCTTTTTGAGTCTTTCCTCATAATGTCCAAAATTTGGAACATCAGGCTTTGAGGCAACTGAGAAAGTTTGACTACTAGCCTTGTTGCTGTTTAATTCTATTGTGACTGCATCAACATCGACGTTGAGATAATCGCTCAAAAATTCGCCGACTTCGATGTTCTCGTGGTTTCCACGAAGCACTTCAGCACCATAGCCATAAATGTTGACGTCAACGGCGGAGTGTCCGTGAGTCGACCAACCGATCTGTGCTCTACGGCTGATGATATCTGCAAAAGCATAAGCAGAAAGAGCCGGGTTGCCAATGATAAGGTCGATCTCTTCGTCACTTGCATCTATGACTCCAAGACCCTCCTCGACAAGCTTCTCTTTCACGAATCTCCTATACACGGCGTCTCCTTCGTTTGCTGCACCGGAGGAAGCAATATGAGCCCGCAAAGCCCTCGAAAGATATTCTGAAGAATGGGAAGCATTTGCTAATACCTCGGGATACCATAGATATTGAGGGTATGAAGGATTAAGTTCTAAATACGATTAGCAGCAGCTCATGTCCTTAAAGAGCTGGTATGTCTTACGTCTTGCAACAGCCAAACCCCCAGTCTCGTGGTCACTTGTAGCAACAAGGGCACCTTCGGTATCACTCTTGCCCAGGAAATCAATCACACTTTGGAAAGCTCGATCGTAGGCGAGCACTTCATGAACTTGCGCAGCCTATGTAACACAACAGTCAGTAATAGTCCTCGTTGAGAAAAGTCTTTCCTCAAGGGATCGATAGCAACTCACTGGGTCATTGCCATGGCCAGCATGATCAATGCGACTACCCTCGATCATAAGGAAGAATCCTTGATCACTATCTTTTGTTGCAGCTTCGAGTGCGGTTAAAGCTGTTCTTGCCATTTCATCGAGAGAGGGATAGACATCGTTCATGTTTCGTCGGTCAAGCTCGAAAGGTATATCTGTATCAGAAAAGAGGCCTAACAATGGCAGCTGAACCTTCTTTCCGAGCTTCAATTTGTCGAAGTCCTCTCTGGTATCAATGTATGTCCACCCGTATTTGTCTTGCGCCAATTTGGTGACATCGCGACTGTCGGCTCTACAACTCGATTCTGATGTATTGGGTAAAAAGTGACAGCGTCCACCACCCAGCATTAAATCAACAACTCTATGTCCAAGAGGGTGTTCGCCAACCTCCTGTAAAGCTATCGAGTCCTCTTGCATTCGATAATCGACATGCGCTGCAAAGCAAGCAGGGGTCGCATCCGTTATGTCTGTTGTAACAACCACTGGAGAAATTAGCATTCCTAGGGTCCTTTGAATTGACATGGCAGATCGTCACTTACAGCCAGTTGTGTATCCAGCCTTTTTTGCAGCTTCAAGGACAGTACCGCAGGGAGTGTGATCCGGCAACATAGAAATAGCACCATTGTAGCTCTTTCTTCCACAACTAAATGCTGTAGCTCCTGCGGCACTGTCTGTAATAAGACTGCTGCTCGATCTCGTGCGGGATGATCCGATAAAATGTTTATCGAGTTGGAGGATATCGTTCATAGGTAAATCTCCTTGAAATTGTCGAAAGCCTCTCGTTAAGCTCAAAGATGCCGGGCCCATTCCGTCACTCACCATGAAAATAAGATTGCGCTTCCCATTTTGCTTCTTCTCCTTCGGGGCTTGTTGGCTTTGCGACAATAGAACGCCTAGGACGATGACAGCGGCGGTAGCAACAACAGCCCATGTAAAGAGCCCAATCTCTCGCCAGACACCAGGTCTCTTGGTTGACTCGTAGAAATCCTTACGTCGATTACCAAGAAGAGCGTCGTCTTCGGCCGCAGCTCTTTCTTCGGAATTCGAGGAAGAAGGTCGTCCTGAAGCGAACAGCGGACTGTTATTATTCGGCGCCATGCTTATTGCGCTGGGAGTATTAAACTTAAACTGTATGTACAAGTAAAATCTACCTATGATTGAGAAATATGAGTCTGTCGTCCGTCGACAGAAACCTACCGCTCGGGTTGGCAATATGATGATTTCAACCTAGTCTTGAGACATAAAAGAGCTCACGAGGCAATGAGTCAAGGCACTGTTTTGTCTGGGCAACCAGCAGACGTTCGGTGTGCAGTACAAAGGAGCGTCAGACAAATCTTCGCAATACAAACCAATCTATCAGTTCCGAGTCAGGATATGGATTATGATAAGGTGAGAAACATTAACAGTTTCCGAGAATCAGCTGAAGATAACAATAATTTAATACCTACCTGACAAAAACCCAGTCTTATGTAATGTAAATAATTTTGTGACCGGTGGGTTATCGTCATTGTACAGCTTTCTCGTTAATGCAAATGCAAAAAGGTCGCCTCATTATTTAGCGGAGTACATAGAGGATTAGAAAGAGTAGAATCTATAAGAGGCTTAGAATCTATGGGAGGATTAAAATCTATGGGAGAGTTAGAATCTATAGGAGGGTTAGAATCTACTCGAGTATGGTGGAAAGGGTAGAATTTATAGTGGGAGAGTAGAATCTATAGTATAGAATCTAGTTATTTAAGACTACCTAGTAGAATCTAAGTGGCATGAGAGTAAATTATATGTTATTTTCGTGATAACTTGAAGAGTAATCTAATTCACATAAGAGTAATTTGCCGAAAATAATACCAGTTCAATGTTTTTACTATAGATAGAAGTACTCGAGTATAACTTTTGTTATGAAACGGGCCCCGATTTCGGGGGAAAATGTGGTGAAATTCCATACTTTTGACATTCGGACATTTGGACATTTGGAAAGCCATAAATGCTTGCTTAGATATAGTCAGAATTTGTTAGATAATTAGGCAGAACAGGTGTGTCCGAAAGGAGATAATATCACGAATCGAGAGTCACGACATTCCATACATAAGGGAAATGATCTATAGCATCCACAGGCTGCTGAGCTATATTCAAAAGGCTGTTCCGATGCGGTAGTGGGAGTGTATATCTTCGCGGGTGTTTTGACTTGTCGAATAAAATTGACGATGGCATAATGCAACCGGCTCACATGCCCTTGGGGAAAAGAAATCGAACATTGGATCTGAAAGCTCTCCATAAATTACTCGAAAAACCTGATCATTGGTCTGCTTCACTAACCGGTGAACAGATCCAAATCGAGCCCCATTCACTTTATGCATTCTGACGCCAACCTCACATTGGAACGGCACTCGGTATAGTCGAAGCTCATGGATTTCGTAGAAGCCCTGAGATTGATACAGCTATTTCCTGCCGCGTTTCATCCAGCCTTCCCAGTCAAACACCAAAGGACCCAGAATCAATCAAACTTAACGCTTCTTTTGTTGAGACTCTTTGAGAACCTTCTTGACAATCTTCTGCTCCTCAATCAAGAAAGCTCTGACAATGCGATCTCTAACGCAGTTGGCACATCTTGATCCTCCGTAGGCACGTTGAACGGTCTTCTTTGGGCGGGAGATTTGGGAGTATTCGCGGGGTCGGAGAGCTGGGATCTATAGAAAATGAATTAGCATTTCATCACCCTTTTTTGTATGACCAAATCTCCATCAAACTCGTATGTGGTTGCCTTCTAGAGCCCGAAACCCGATATCGACCTTCGCTCAAACAACATTGGTGTCATATGTCGGTGCCCCGCGCTTGAATTCTCCACCTGAACTATTCTCGAGTTTTCCCTCATTTCCTTGCAGACAATCGAAAGATATCAACTTACACCTGGCAATTTGATTCCGCAGTCACCGCACTTTGGTGCAGTACCGGCCTTCTTGATGTGAAGATATCGTAGCTCGCCACCGGGGGTCTTGACAACTCTGACCTTGTTGGATTTGGTGTTGTATCTATATGAATCAATATATGTCCATTCGAGCAATACAGAATTGAAACTCACGGGTTTCGGCGTCTGTAGGTCAATCTGGTGGACGACATCTTGGCAGATTTCTGGTTCGGTGGTCGATTGAGGTCGTTGGCGTTGTCGTTGAAATCTTTATATCAGTATCGCGAATTTTTCGAAATTCAGAATGTGCGAGCAATCGGCTAGGGCTATGACGATTATAGTTAGACCGTTATAGAGCGACCCATAAGTATTAATGCCTTATACTTATATCAGCATCTTGATATTCAGGCAATCAAAAATTAGATTTATCGAATAGATGCGCTAACGGGTTATTGCCTGAAGCTCTCTCCGAGTAGTGTTAAATTTTATCGAAACGCGCTCGCGATTATCAACGTATCCATCAATTTTATATCTATCAACAACAAAGTAAAGTTTCATTGAGAAGGGGACTTGTTGATGGAATTTGGGAATTGGTACCCAAGACATTAAAATGTCATCAATACCACCACCACCTCCGCCTGGATGGAGCTCTTCAGCGCCTCCGTCGATGCCTCTGGGCGCGCCACCCGGTGCTCCTCCTCCCCCAGGTTATCGACCACCAGCGGATCCACACGTTGCGAAGTTTGCACAGAAGAAGAAGGATTGGTTACGATCACAGCGAAATCGGTTCGGCGAAAAACGGAAAGGTGGTTTCGTGGAAACTCAGAAGGCTGATATGCCCCCAGAGCATCTGCGAAAGATCGTCAAGGATATTGGAGATGTATCGCAAAAGAAATTCAGCAGTGACAAACGAAGTTATCTGGGCGCACTCAAGTTCATGCCGCATGCCGTGATGAAACTGCTAGAGAACATGCCCATGCCTTGGGAGTCTGCGAGGGAGGTAAAGGTGCTATATCACGTTAATGGTTGCTTGACTTTGGTTAATGAGATTCCAAGAGTTATAGAGCCGGTGTTCCATGCACAATGGGCTACCATGTGGATTTGTATGAGAAGAGAGAAGAGTGACAGAAGACATTTCAAGAGAATGAGATTCCCGCCATTCGACGACGAAGAGCCACCCCTGTCATGGTCAGAGAATATCGAAGATGTTGAGCCACTGGAGCCAATTCAGCTAGAGCTTGATGAGGGGGAGGATGGTGCTGTTCTTGAATGGTTCTACGAAAATCGACCCCTTCTTGACACGCCACACGTCAACGGTCCGAGTTATAAAGAATGGAACCTTACGTTACCTCAAATGGCAACCTTATATCGATTGAGTCGACAATTATTGAGTGATTTGGTTGACAAGAATTACTTTCACATGTTTGAGTTGAAAAGCTTCCAAACAGCCAAAGCATTGAACGTTGCTATTCCTGGTGGTCCTCGTTTCGAACCTCTATACAAAGACGTGGATCCCAACGATGAAGACTTCGGAGAGTTTAATGCTATCGATCGTATCATCTTTCGAGCTCCAATTCGGACAGAATATCGTGTAGCATATCCTTACTTATACAATTCACTCCCTCGCAGCGTCAAGCTTTCTTGGTTCTCGCATCCCCAAGTGGTATATGTTCGTGCTGAGGATCCAAGTTTACCAGCTTTCTATTTTGATCCCGTCATCAACCCAATCTCTTCCAGATCCGTCGCCCCTAAAAATCTCACGATTAGTCACGAAGACGAAATATTCGGACCCGGAAACAACGAAGAATCAGAAGAAGACGCTTTCAGACTACCGGGTGATGCTGAGCCATTCCTCGCGGACGAGGAGTTGTATACTAGCGACACCGCCGCAGCAATCTCCCTGTGGTGGGCACCTTTTCCATTTGATCGAAGATCTGGTCGCATGGTTCGGGCACAAGATGTACCTCTAGTCAAGCAGTGGTACCTTGAGCATTGCCCTCAAGGCCAACCTGTAAAGGTTCGAGTTTCATATCAGAAGCTTTTGAAGACTTTTGTCTTGAACGAGTTGCATAAGAGGAAGCCGAAAGCACAGAGTAAACAGAGCTTGATGAAGTCGTTGAAACAAACAAAATTCTTTCAGCAAACAACAATTGATTGGGTTGAAGCTGGACTTCAAGTCTGCAGGCAGGGTTTCAATATGCTGAATCTTCTTATTCATCGCAAGAATCTCACATATCTACATCTTGATTATAATTTCAATCTGAAACCCGTCAAGACGTTGACCACAAAGGAACGAAAAAAGTCTCGATTTGGAAATGCGTTCCATCTCATGCGAGAGATCTTGAAGATGACCAAGCTGATTGTTGACGCTCAAGTTCAGTATCGTCTTGGCAATATCGATGCTTTTCAACTCGCGGACGGTATTTTATATGCCTTCAACCATGTCGGTCAGCTGACTGGAATGTACCGTTATAAGTATAAGCTGATGCATCAAATCCGCTCCTGTAAAGATCTGAAGCATTTAATTTATTATCGGTTTAATTCTGGACCGGTAGGCAAGGGACCTGGTTGTGGTTTCTGGGCACCTGCTTGGAGAGTTTGGCTTTTTTTCATGCGTGGTATAATTCCACTACTGGAAAGATGGCTTGGAAACCTTCTTTCTAGGCAATTTGAAGGACGTCACAGCAAAGGTGTTGCAAAGACCGTGACGAAGCAACGTGTAGAGTCGCACTTTGATCTTGAGTTGCGAGCATCGGTCATGGCCGATCTTCTTGATATGATGCCGGAGGGTATCAAGCAAAACAAGGTTCAAACTGTACTTCAACATCTCTCCGAGGCATGGAGATGCTGGAAGAGTAATATTCCTTGGAAGGTCCCAGGCTTACCTGCCCCCATCGAGAACATCATTCTTCGTTATGTGAAGAGCAAGGCAGATTGGTGGATCTCTGTCGCTCACTACAATCGTGAGCGCATTCGCCGAGGAGCAACCGTGGACAAAACTGTTGCCAAGAAGAATCTTGGCCGGCTTACAAGACTTTGGCTTAAGGCTGAGCAAGAGAGGCAGCACAATTATATGAAGGACGGTCCATACGTGTCTTCCGAAGAAGCTGTCGCCATCTATACCACCACTGTTCATTGGCTGGAGTCACGAAAGTTTTCACCCATCCCATTCCCCAGCGTTTCATACAAGCACGATACCAAAATCCTTATTCTTGCTTTGGAACGTCTCCGTGAAGCATATTCTGTCAAAGGACGACTGAATCAAAGTCAGCGTGAGGAACTGGCCTTGATTGAGCAGGCTTATGACAGTCCTGGAACCACTTTGGAGAGAATCAAGCGCTTCCTACTGACACAGAGAGCATTTAAAGAAGTCGGGATTGATATGAATGACAATTATAGCACAATCAACCCTGTGTATGATATCGAGCCCGTGGAGAAAATTAGCGATGCCTATCTTGACCAATACCTTTGGTATCAAGCCGACCAACGACATCTATTCCCTGCCTGGATCAAGCCTTCCGATTCTGAAGTTCCACCCTTGCTGACATATAAATGGGCTCAAGGTATCAACAACCTTGACAAAGTCTGGGAGACTGCAGATGGAGAGTGCAACGTTATGATTGAAACACAGTTATCTAAGGTGTATGAGAAGATTGATTTGACCCTCCTTAATCGTTTACTTCGACTTATCATGGACCACAACTTGGCTGATTACATATCGTCTAAGAATAACGTCCAATTGACCTACAAAGACATGAATCACGTCAACAGTTACGGAATGATCAGAGGTCTCCAATTCTCGGCTTTCGTTTTCCAGTACTACGGACTTGTTCTTGACCTCTTGCTTCTTGGTCTGCAGCGAGCAAGTGAGATTGCTGGCCCGCCAGCAGGTCCTAACGACTTTCTTCAATTCCGCGATCGGGAGACCGAAACGAGACATCCGATCCGTCTATATACCAGATATATTGATCGTATCTGGGTGTTCTTCCGCTTTTCGGCCGACGAATCTCGCGACCTTATTCAGCGTTTCCTTACGGAGCAGCCTGATCCCAATTTCGAAAATGTCATAGGCTACAAGAATAAGAAATGCTGGCCAAGAGATTCTAGAATGCGTCTCATGAGGCACGACGTCAATCTTGGTCGTGCTGTCTTCTGGGACTTGAAAAATCGCTTACCAAGATCTGTTACCACTATCGAATGGGATGACACCTTTTCGAGTGTATACAGTCGAGACAACCCGAATCTACTTTTCTCCATGTGCGGTTTCGAAGTTCGAATTCTCCCTAAGATTCGCAATCAGAACGATGACTTCCCTGTCAAAGATAGCGTTTGGTCCTTGGTCGACAACACCAGCAAGGAGAGAACGGCACATGCATTCTTGCAGGTCACTCAGGAAGATATTGCGAAATTCAATAATCGCATTCGTCAAATCCTCATGTCCTCTGGGTCAACCACATTCACGAAGATTGCCAACAAATGGAACACAACCTTGATCGCCCTCTTCACATACTATCGTGAAGCAGCTGTATCCACGGTCGACTTGCTGGATACCATTGTGAAATGTGAAACAAAAATTCAGACCAGAGTTAAGATTGGTCTTAATTCTAAGATGCCTTCTCGTTTCCCTCCTGCCGTCTTCTACACTCCCAAGGAACTTGGTGGTCTCGGTATGATATCTGGATCACATATCCTCATTCCTACGAGTGATAAAAGATGGTCCAAGCAAACAGACGTTGGGGTTACTCATTACCGTGCAGGAATGACTCATGATGAAGATACTCTTATCCCTAACATTTTCAGATACATCATACCGTGGGAAGCTGAATTCATCGACTCCCAGCGTGTGTGGACTGAATATTCTCAGAAACGTCAAGAAGCAAACCAGCAAAATCGAAGATTGACACTTGAGGATCTTGAAGATAGTTGGGATCGTGGATTACCTCGTATCAATACCCTCTTCCAGAAAGATAGAAGCACTTTGAGTTTTGATAAAGGATTTCGCGCACGTACTGAGTTCAAGACATACCAGCTTATGAAGAGCAATCCATTTTGGTGGACTAGTCAACGTCATGATGGTAAATTGTGGAACCTCAATGCTTACCGTACCGATGTCATTCAAGCACTTGGTGGTGTCGAAACCATTCTTGAACACACACTCTTTAAGGCGACAGCATTCCCATCTTGGGAAGGTCTTTTCTGGGAGAAAGCCAGCGGATTCGAAGGTAAGTTTGGAAAGATCCTTGGATCTCAAACTCATTGGGGACAGTCAATCTGTTTGGGCAATTACTGACTCCACTATCTTGCAGAATCCATGAAGTTCAAGAAGTTAACAAACGCTCAAAGATCCGGTCTCAATCAAATCCCCAACCGTCGCTTTACGCTCTGGTGGTCACCTGTACGTCACATTCTTCTAACCTCTCTCCTTACTCCTCAATACACTTGCCAATCTCCTACTCACCCCCAAACAATGGATGAAAGCTAATGCTTCGTTTGAATTAGACCATTAACAGAGCCAATGTGTATGTTGGTTTCCAAGTTCAACTGGATCTCACTGGTATCTTTTTGCACGGCAAGATTCCGACCTTGAAGATTTCTCTTATCCAGATCTTCAGAGCACATCTGTGGCAGAAGATACATGAAAGTGTGGTGATGGATTTGTGTCAAGTTTTTGACCAAGGCAAGCTTTTATTTTTCATTTTCCTTCAAGATCTTCCTTTGATAAGCAATTACTGACTCCATGATCTCGCAGAACTTGAACAGCTTGGCATCGAGACGGTACAGAAGGAGACCATCCATCCCAGAAAGTCCTACAAAATGAATAGTTCTTGCGCCGATATTCTTTTGTTCGCAAGTCACAAATGGAACGTAACTCGCCCATCCATTCTCTTCGACACGAAAGATGTTATCGAAGCTACCACGACGAACAAATTCTGGGTAGATGTCCAACTACGTTACGGAGATTATGATTCTCACGACATTGAACGTTACGTCCGTGCGAAATACCTCGATTATACAACTGATAGTATGAGCATCTATCCGTCTGCTACCGGTCTCATGATTGGTATTGATCTTGCTTACAATCTTTACTCTGCGTATGGACAATACTTCCCTGGTCTCAAGCAATTAGTGCAGCAAGCTATGGCCAAGATCATGAAGGCAAACCCAGCCCTCTATGTCTTGCGCGAACGTATCAGGAAGGGTCTTCAACTGTACGCGTCTGAAAGCAATCAAGAGTTTTTGAATTCTCAAAATTACTCTGAGCTTTTCAGCAACCAGATCCAGCTCTTCATTGATGACACAAATGTCTACCGTGTCACCATCCACAAGACCTTTGAAGGTAACTTGACAACCAAACCAATCAACGGAGCAATTTTTATCTTCAATCCTCGTACTGGACAACTCTTTTTGAAGATTATTCATACTAGTGTGTGGGCTGGACAGAAACGTCTAGGACAATTGGCTAAGTGGAAAACCGCCGAAGAAGTTGCTGCTCTCATCCGATCATTGCCCATCGAAGAGCAACCGAAACAGCTTATCGTTACGAGAAAGGGTCTTCTCGATCCACTGGAAGTACATTTGCTCGACTTCCCGAATATCTCAATCCGCGCCTCCGAACTGCAATTGCCCTTCCAGGCTGCCATGAAAGTAGAAAAGCTCGGTGACATGATTCTTCGTGCCACTGAACCTCAAATGGTTCTGTTCAACCTTTATGACGAGTGGCTCAAGTCAATTTCCTCATACACCGCATTCTCTCGTTTGATCCTCATCCTTCGTGCCCTGCACGTAAACCAGGACAAGACGAAGCTACTCCTTCGACCTGACAAGACTGTGATCACGCAAGAACATCATATCTGGCCCACGTTGTCGGATGAGGATTGGATCAAGGTCGAGACACAACTGCGTGATCTCATCCTCAATGATTACGGTAAAAAGAACAACGTCAACACTTCCAGTCTTACCAGTAGTGAAGTACGGGACATTATCTTGGGTATGGAAATTAGCGCTCCATCGATGCAACGCCAACAAGCGGCTGAAATCGAAAAGCAGCAGCAAGAACAGCAACAACTTACAGCTGTCACAACCAAAACTCAAAACGTTCATGGGGAGGATATCATTGTCACAACCACCTCGCAATTCGAGCAACAAACATTTGCATCGAAAACCGAGTGGAGAACCAGAGCGATTGCGACTTCGAACTTGAGGACGCGATCCAACAATATCTATATCTCTTCCGACGACGTCAAAGAGGATGATCAATATACGTATATCATGCCAAAGAATATCTTGAAGCGCTTTATCACGATTGCGGATTTGCGCGTTCAAGTAGCTGGATATCTATATGGTTCATCTCCTCCCGACAACGATCAAGTGAAGGAAATCCGCTGCATCGTAATGGTACCTCAAATTGGTAGTACACGTGACGTACAATTGCCTCAGCAGTTACCACAACACGAATACCTCGATCAATTGGAACCCCTCGGAATTATTCACACCGTTTCTGGCAATGAACCACCGTACATGACAGCTATGGATGTTACCCAACATGCACGTCTCATGAACTCGCATAAGTCATGGGACAAAAAGACGGTCAGCATGACGGTTTCATTCACCCCCGGAAGTGTTTCACTAGCATCATGGGCGCTCACGCCTCATGGCTACAAATGGGGCGCGGAAAACAAAGACCTTGGTAGTGACCAACCGCAAGGCTTCGGCACGAACATGGGCGAAAAGTGCCAGCTTCTACTTAGTGACAAGATCCGTGGTTACTTCTTGGTACCTGAGACCAATTCATGGAACTATAGTTTTATGGGAAGTGCTTTTGGAAGCTTGGAGAAAAAGCCGGTACATGTGAAGATTGATACGCCTACGCCATTCTACAACGATTTGCACCGACCTTTACATTTCCAAAACTTTGCTGAATTGGAGGATATCTGGGTTGACAATGAAGACAAGCTTGCGTAGATTAATAATGCTAAGGGATAAGAAAACAAGGAAAGAAACAGAGTGACCTGGGTAGCTTAGAACTGGGAGGATGAACTTATCAGCGTGCATCTGTATTCATCGGGGTGGGCAGTAGGCGTTTGATACGAGTGCGCATTGTAACAATGTATTTTTTTGTAGATGAATAATATGGTAGCAAAATGACATGAATTTGGATATGCCACATTGATGCTAACCTGAGGGTTCGTTCAGTGAATGTCCAACTTGACCCGAAAGTCTTCTTTTGTCCACCACCTTGAACTGGATGTCCAACCCTGACGTCGATTTTCGGATTATCCTGAATGTTGAGATCAATCGATCTCAATGCTCAATACAACACCGGATGAATATCCCATCTTCATCCGAATAATTAAATTTTTCGAAATCCGAAACTCATCTAAGCTACTAACTGACTCACTCATCTGAAACAGTCGAATTCGGTACATACCTACTCATACATGCTTCAAACTTATTAACATTATGGAACCTGCTTTTCACATCTTCATCTTTTTGCAATGAAGCAAAAACACTCCATCTAGGCTCTAACCCATTCATTATTACATGATTCGCTCGTTTGACGTTTGACGTTCGATGTTAGATGTTGGCCTCCTTACATCATACATTTAGCTGCGCTTTATCACTTTGTTTGATCGACGGTTGGTATGGTACAGTAGTACAGTAACAGTACATTGAGTGAAGAGTGAAGAGTAAAGAGTGAAGTACGAATCATGGATGTTACATACCGGTACATGATCAATGCATACAATACATACTGTACCATTTCACCATGGGTACATACTAGGTATTTATAGAACGGGCACGGGGTACCGCATCAAATGCAATATAATGTATATGCGATAGGGATAGGGGAAGGAAAAGGAAAAGGGAAAACTTGGGATTGATTTGATTTGATGCATGCACGCATATGGATTTGGCTAGGTAGGTAGTAGCTATGGCATGAATAAGAAGTATGGGGAAAATAAAAATGAAATAAAAATGAGCTGATTTTAGGACTGAGTAAGTGCTTATATATCAATATCAACATCAACATCAACATCGGCGACTGGGTTGAGGGAGCGTGTTTGGTCGGGTAAAGTTATAGTATTGCTAATGTTGGCCATGGGTGAGCATTGGGCTGAAGTTTTTGAGGAGTACTTAGGTATATGTAGTGTAAGGCTTGAGAGATTGAATGAGCCATTGATATTGGTTTGGGACCTGCATGCTGCAGCAGATCAGGTTCTGTGTATAAGAGGGGTTATTTATACACTTGCATCTGCATATGTACACCCATTAGCTAGCCTTTCAATGCTTTTATCGACAGCAGCAAAGTTACTACTTACGATACTATATGTGTATTCAAGTACAAGTAAGAGTAGTAGTAGTAGTAGTAGCAGCAGTAGTAGCAGTAGTAGCAGTAGTAGTCGTTGTAGACATACACTCGAATACTCAGTACATATATATATATGTTTTTCATATCATATACTTTAGAGGAGAAAATCGAAATACTGAGTACTCGGGTATAATACAAAATTAATATATTATTAGGTTAATAGTGGTTCCTCGCTTTCCTCCGAGATGTAAATTAAAAATATTTCTGTATCCCTCTTTCACTCAATTCTTCATCTCTTTTCCCCTCCATCTTATTATGTTGGAATCAATATTCGTTCTAACCGGTATTCATTCCCCTTTTTGTTTCATTCCGTTTCTTCTAATAATCCTTTCAACAGTGATACCGGTAGTATCAGAAGAAGCAACAATCGACAATGAGAACCTTGCCACCATGGAAATACGTACAACTCTTCAATTGCATGTGTTCCTCTTCCAGAAAGCCAATATTCAGCTTTGTCCATATTCGTAGTCTTCCCTTGCTCTGATCGTTTATGCTTACCTAGGGTAATTCTAGCAAAGATTGAAAGCCATATCATTCGAATTATATTACTTTTAGGAAGGGTTATAGACCCTGGTTATCGATGTCAATGCCTTGAGAAGAAAGTTCAGGTGCGACATCCAAAAGCATCAACGGGCAATGTCGCGAACAATTTTACCAATTTCACCAATTTGAAAGCTTAATATGGCTTTATTCATACCTTTTTGGTTCAATTCAAATCCTCCCTTTTTCAAATACAGAATGGGGTCTTTTCTCAGCAAATCCAGGACATTTTCTGCTATACATACACCAGATATCATCAGGTAAAGCCAAAAAAATGGAAACTACTATAAAACTACAAATACAACAACAAGTTATAGACATTTGCAAAGTGGATCTGGATCATCAAAGCGATCTTTAAGAACTTTCTGTCATCATTCTTCAGCCTTCTTCACCGGGATTAAAGAGCAGGATCGATGTCGATAAGGTTAATTCATCCACCATTCATCCAAGGGTCAATTTCATTACTGTATTTGCTGATTTTATACCCTCCAAGCCTTCAAATCTCCGTTATTGTTACTGGTATACCCTCATTTCACGCGTCATTTTAGTTTTGATGGCTTTTCAATGGGGATCAAATCGATCAATTGGAATATCTCCCGCGGCTTAAGCAAGTACGTACAGGGAAAAAAGGGAATTTCCCAGCGGTCACCCTCGGAGATTTTATATTTATAGCCCTGGAATTTGTGTGGTGGATGATGGATGATGTGGATGCAAATGTCACCCTCAAGCATCAGTGAGTATGCAATTGGGGAATTTGGGACCATGAGCTTATTGATTGCTCATTATCCGCCTCGCCACACTTCTTCGGCAAAAGACCTATTCAGCCTGGCAATGCTGGTATGTCTTGGTAAAGAATAACATGGCAAATCAAAGCATTATTTTACCATTTTATTCATCTCCGTTCTTCAATCACTATCGTCTTATTACATCTCAGGGCAGTGCTATTTTTAAATCATCTAACCCTTGAGCATTAAGACGAATTTTATTATCATTCATGCTTCAAACCTAGGAAGAGGTCGCAGCGCCTTAAAACATGGCCCTACTTCTCCACACTTCCATAGGGACGACGGGTTTCTCAAGTTGGCTCGGGTAGTAAAGTTCATCCAGGAGTTAAAATGGTTGGGTCGAGTGGGCCCAAATCCCTGCTGCCGGTTTCTTATTCTCGCCACAAACCCATTTCTTGTTTCAAAAGCTTCTATACTTCTTCCAGAGCTCTATGCCCTAAGGGCCACAGACTATTCCCATGGTTGTCAACTTCCACTCCGCCTACTTTGAACACCAAATCTTCTTGGCAAATATACTTTATCACCCCCTTCCTTGTATGTCAAGCTGCTTCGGATAACCATGCTTTGAGCGTTACAGGCATCGGCTCGGGATCTTCTCATCTTAGAATCCCAATTGGGACGCCAGGCATAATCGAGTTCCCATCTCCCCGGCAGAGAACGTTGCCAAAGGGTTTCTGCCAACATGTATCATTGGCATTGCGCAACACGGAAGTTGTCTCGTTCGATGCGAACCGCTGGAACGCTATGGTCATTTAATTCCTGCCCTACGCCATTGATGTCTATGCAAGGTTAACCGCAAAGATCAGATGACAGATAAATGCAGATGCACCCCCCTCCTTAAGACTCCTCGTTCCTTCTACCATTTCATCTACAGCTATCTAACCTACAGCGGTCCGTTTACACGAGAAGTTGCCGAAAAAGTTTGGAAACATTTTGTTCTGAGGTTAATCGCATATTACCAAGGTATGCGATATTCGGTTCTGTCACCTATATAACGGCATCATATAGATTAATTTTCAAAACGCGCACAGTCGCATCAGCTTTGTAAACAACAGGCGACAAAACCACAACGAGCGTTCTGGAAACATAACGCGCTGCGGCAATACTTCAACGCCTTTTTAATTTACCCCCAGCGACCTGCGAGAGCAGTTCGCTGTGGAGGGATCCATGCATGTCTGGCTATTCACGCCACAATCCAGGGCACGATCCTTATATCGACTATGCTGCTCAATCCGAAGCACATCCAGAGCGCGTTTATGGGTCGCATCACCCAGAACTCCAACAAGTTGGCGCGCCAAGTCTCGAATCTCTTCATCTTGGAGCGCATCATCAACAGCAGCAACAGCAGCAACAGCAACAACAGCACCATCAGGTGTTACTAGATCCACACGGCATGTCCCACCACCAATCCCCTCAGTACGTTGGTGGGCAGCAGATGAGAGGGTATTTGGGCACGCCAATGCAGCAGCAGCAGTCATCTAGTGTAGGCAAAAGACCGAGAACTCATGAAGAACTGGCGATGGGAATGGGAGGGGTGTCGGGAGGTCAAATGCATGGGGAGATGCAAGTTATGCCTTCACAAATGTCTCAACAAACGATGAGTGGTTATGGTGGTGGACCTCAAGCTTTTCACAGTCATGCATTGCCTAATCAAGGATCCCGAGGCTCGAAGATTCCTCGTCTCGGTGAAGCGTCAGAATCAAGTATAATGTCGCAAGGTGCGCCAAGTGTGGTGGGTGCTGTCGGAATGCCACTTCCTGCTGCAAGGCCGCGGGGTCCAAAGTTAAAGTTTACACCAGAGGATGATCAGTTGCTGGTGGATTTGAAGGAAAACAAGTCTTTGACTTGGAAGCAAATTGCGGAGTTTTTCCCTGGGCGATCGTCGGGAACATTGCAAGTCCGCTATTGTACAAAGTTGAAGGCTAAGACAACTCAATGGAGTGATGAGACGGTAAGATATACATTGGCCTCGATCCTTTGAGTGATCAATATCTAACCAAAACTCCAAGGTTCAAAAACTTCGAACAGCGGTCCATGATTACGAGCAAGAGAAATGGCGTATTGTGGCACAAAAAGTCGGAACGGGATTCACATCTACGGCTTGCAAAGATAAATGGACTGAATTGGTGAGTTTTCCAGACACAAAAGCAAAATTAAAAGCAAAAATAATCGTTGGGTTGGGTTGGGTTCGGGGCGTTATATCAATGCGCACGCCACAACCTGATTGAATATTTTCTTTCAACTCTTTGAGTGAGTGACACGCAGACACAAGACTAACCACTCATCAGATGCATCCCGATGATTCCGATTTGCAATCACCAGAACCGGAAGATCTCCCCGGAGATGCGGAATATTAGATTCGTTTTACCCTTTACCTACCTATCACCTACGAGCACAGACAATGCATACACCATATGCCCTTGGCTGGTGACTGGCCCAAACATCGCAACATATTTCTTTCCGTCGCACCACATACACATATACACATACCCAAATTACGCACACGCACACACACGCATATGCACATTACACCAAAATAAACTACGAAAGCGAAAACACAAAACACAAATACAAACTAATACTGGATAAAGGCGGCTGTCTTTGTTCATTTATCTTATTGCTTATTCTTATTTCAAACTTTAATTGTCAACTACAATTACCCTTTTCATTATATGTCATGGTATGGAAGGAAGGAGGAGGGGAACAGGAGGAAAGCAAGAGGGAGCAGATAAGATGTATAGGGCAAAACTCGAGACTCGAAACACAAAAAACATATACCTTTCATGATGAAGGAAGGAGGGGAGAAAGGGAGAAAGGGATAAATGAAGGAAGAAAGGAAGACGTAATTAAAACATGGGTGAAGATGGAATAGAGGGCGGTTTATGGATAGGGGTAGTTGGTATGGAGAAGGAGAAGGAGACATATATTCAGGAGGGCCAGGGTGCTCGACATGGGTTTTTTATTATTAAACTTCATATACCCCTTATTTTGACACGATGATGATGGGCGATTTTTGGATTGGATTGGATTGGATTGGAATTGGAATTGGAATTGGAATTGGAATGAAACGGGTATTTGGAACTTGAATATATGTATATATATATATCTACTGGGTACCCGATATTTGGTTCGTTCTCTTTGACTTTTTATTTTCTTGGGTGATGGGTTGGGATGGGGATGGGGATGAGGAGAGAAAGGGGGGATCCATAGATTGGTAGGTTTTAATGTTGTATATGAGTGAGTGTGAATACTGTCACTTTTTACTCGAGTAATATTCTTTCTTTCTTTGTTTATTTTTACTTTGCTTTATTTTATTTTATTTTATTTTATCTTATTTAATACTACTTTACTTTACTCTATACTCATTTCCTTTCCTTTCCTTTCCTTTCCCTTACTTCAATATACACTCACTCTTACTCTTAGTCTCACTCTGCCTCTCCCCATCCTTTATCAATTCAATCAAAATCTCCTATTTCAAATTTCAATACCTGTCTATTCTCATATACATATTCTCATACACCACACACATATATATATATATATACACAACCAACCACCCCCTCCCTCCTTCCAAAAAAAACCCAAGGAAAATCAAACCAAGAGAATTTGATAAAAAGGTATCTCCTACAGTAATAAGTAAGAGTATATTCCAAGATAGATTCTCCGAGTTGGTGAGATGTATATGATTGGGAAGATGCTTGAATGAGATGAATGAGATGATTGGGGAGTTTTGGTTAAGGAAATGTTTGAGAGAGAAGGAGGATGGTGATAGGGGGGATGAGGATGGGAATGGGAATGAGGTTGATGGGGATGATGGGGATGGATGGATGGATGGAAATGGGAATGTGTTTGGAGAGATGGAGGGAGCGAGGGAGGGAAGGAGGGAGGGATGGATGGATGGGGGATATAATTGTGGATATTTCTTGCTGTCAACGAGATGAGACTCTATCTCCCTCCCTCCATCTCTCTCTTTCTTCCTGTCTTTCTTTCTGTCTCTCTCTCTCTCTCTCTAAAACTCAACAGAACAACCCACACCATTCACAAACATCACAATTCATCACTGCAATAGATAGCGCTTGAATATTATATTATATGTTGTATATTACAATTATAACTTGTAACTCATGTGAGAAACTAAAGGCATCTTAGATAATATGATACAATTGATTTCCTTTTTATATAATATGGTATGATATAGTGATTTGGGTGCGTGGATTAGGTTAGTGACTTGGTAATTTGGTAGCTATACTGACTGTAGTGTGGAGAGTATGTATGTATGTATATATGTATATCTGTATATGATACTTTTTGGAAAACTGGCGAAGCAAAAAGTGATGCAAGAGCGATGTGATATACCGGTCGTATGTAAAATCTTGTTTTGTTTGGCTACAGTATAGTGGTATCGTTGATGATTCCTCTGACTCTGAGAGAGAGAGAGAGAGACTTACTTTGGAGGGTTTGAAGTTCGTGTACTGTAGTGAGCGAGAGCATTAGAATCTAGCATGTTGTACTCGAGTATATCTATATCTTTGCGTACCGGTACGTAGCCCTCCTCAATACGCTCTAAACCGTATTGAAGAAATGACCATCGAATGTGTTAGCCCCCCTCTCCTTCCCCTCTTTCAAAAGAGACCATATTTCTGGTCTATTCAAGGACCGAGGTATTGTATTTATAATCTACCATACAGTAATCATATTACTGTATTGGTTGAGTCGAACAACAACAACAACAACAACAACAACAACAACTGCATGGAGATATAACTTCTACAGAGTAGATATCTACAGAGTAGATATCTACAAAGTAGATGGATATTATGATTAAAATACTTACTGTAGCTAGAAGAAAGATACCGTTAGTCCATAACGGCGATTCTACTGTTGCATAACTTGAATTTTTGTTTTTGTTTTTGCTCTCGAGTCTTGATACTTGCTTGCTTGCATCTGATTCTATATGTAGAAAAACAATAATAAGAATGGACGTTCGGAACGGCGATGGAGTCTGAATATGTATGTGCTGTGTATACATGCCGAAATGTTATACTTGGGATTCAAACTTCAAAGGTGTCTGTTTCGAATGGGAAGCTATTGGGTACCACCCTATAGGTGTAGGTAGAGATATATATATATATAAGGGGACCATGTGAACGCCAAAAGGTGCTGAGATTTTTCTACTTTTTGGGTTTGGAGATAAGAGATAGACATTAGTTCTTGCCCGAAGTGTTCCAGCATATACCGGTATTAGATACCTACCTAAGCTCAAGATGGCTGCTGAGAGTCTTATTGTCGCAAGTACTCGAGTATGTGGATGGAGTTTGGAATACTATGGCAGCTATGTGGCTTTATATTTCATCGCATCAAATTGGGGATCAGCTAGTTCTTCTATATCTTGTTTCTACCTCATTTGGTATCGAGATAGCTATAGATACTCGAAGTATGGGAGAGAGATGCTGAGATTTTCATCTGGTGGAAACTGTGTGAGTGTGTGTGTACTGTGTTGTTTAACGGCGTAATCTAATTTATGGTTTGTACTTGTATTTCATGGTTTAGATGCAGGACGCAGGACTATGATGTGTATATATATCCATGAGAGAACGTGTGACTTGTGGAAGAAGTAGCAATGTGGTATGATGGTATGAAGAAGAGGACTACCTTTTGCTAGTAAACTTGGATAATTTTGGTTGTATGTCTGATTCGGAATAGACATTGTTTGCTGTTTATGAATTTGATTGTATAAACACTTGTAGAGTAATAATAATAATAAAAAGTAGTTTGCTTCATTAGATGAGAAGAGAATAAACAGTTTCTTCTTATCAATTTATTGAATAGTAAAATATTAAAATAGAACGTATATTGAGGAGTCGAGGATTATCTGAAAAAAAGAGAACTTTTAATAGATCTTCCTGGGTTTTGCTAGGGAAAAGTTTAATATCCGACTTGTTGCATATCTGCATCCTCATTTTATCACTCCTCGAGGAAATCTCTGTACACCTCTAACAAAAATAGAATAAAATAATCCGTATACTTTTCTATATAAAAAAGAAGCAAGTTTATTCAATAAACATAATTCAAACAATATAGAAGTAAAGTCAAAAGGTTGACAGGGACTTTACTAGAGTTCATTTTGATATATTTTGGTGGAAAAACTCGACTTTTTGAGAGCTTTAGGTGAATTCAATATACGATCAGATAAAAGTAAAAAAAATGAATTCGTTCAGGGCAATAGGAAAGTCAAATCGCAATGCAGAAATCCATCCATCAATGGTAAACTCCAGTGCAAACTCTGCCCAGTGAAGGATACCAACTAAACATACAACATACCTTATGAGGCTATTTCATCCCATATATTTTGTTGCACATCTTAGTCTGCAGAGACTTCCTCTTCAACATCAAGAAGTAGTTCCATGTACTTTTTGGACCATCTTCAAGTTCAGGAGATAGATTAAGAAGAAGCAAAATTATCTTGGAATGCAAGAACCAAACACAAATCCTATGTGATTGATTTTATACAACATTTTAAAAAGAACCCTATTTTCCCATCCTCAAAACTCATCCAAAGAATCAAATCCCCAATCTTCCCAATTTGTTTATACAAGTACCTCACACGTGATACACCCATTTCATTTCATCACAAGCATAACATCCCAGCTTAGTCATCACCCATCACTAGCGTCTCACGGCAAGCTAGAACCGCCTCACGAAATCTCCCAAATAACCTACAAATCGTACTACCCTTCGCGCCCCAATCGATACACCCGCTATGTTTCTCCAACGCTCCGCCATTGCTGCTGCTCGCCGAGCAGCCGTCTCCCCAGTCGTGAGACGCAGCTTCACCACCAGTATGATCAGAAGTATGTGCACTCTTGCCTTGCGTCTTCCATGCCGAAAATCCAAAGTTTCGGGCCCCCGGTTTCGAAGCCGCGGGAGGAAGATTGGGCCACGGGAAACCATGTGACTAATTCATCGCTATTCTGTAGGAGAAGCCAAACCACCTGCCGCACCACCCGCCGGATCGAGCGACCGAAAGATTAAGAAGTTCGAAGGTGCGTTTATTCGCAAACCCGGAGTTCTCTGGAACAATGCATAGGGAATGGGAGGGAAGGGTGGGATAAATGTGCTGATATACATACGCACCACCTACAGAAATCAAAAGCGAAGCCGATCTCTTTGGGCCCGGTGCAGCTCCCGGAACCGTCCCTACCGATCTCGAACAATCGACTGGTCTCGAGCGTCTTGAGATCTTGGGAAAGATGCAGGGAGTGGATATTTTTGATATGAAGCCTCTGGATGCCTCTCGAAAAGGTACGCATGCATGGTCCGGTCGGGAGGAAAATTTGGGATCCGGGTTGTTCTGCTGTTGAGATGGAGGGTTGAGAGAAATGAGACGGATGGGGTGAATGAGAATGGATTTGCTAATGAATGAGGGATGTGTAGGCACGTTGGATAACCCAATTGTTGTCAAATCTTTCGGCGACGAACAATATGCCGGTTGTACTGGATACCCAGTTGACTCGCATGTTACTATCTGGCTTACGGTACGTCCAACAAACCCTTGCTTTTCACTTTCCCCATCTTACCCCATCCACAAACCATAACCACCTTCCAAATTCCTATCTCCCAATACTAAAATTCTCCCATCAGATGTCCCGCGACCGTCCCATCGAGCGCTGCCCAGAGTGTGGAAATGTATTGAAGATGGAATACGTGGGTCCGCAAGAGGATCCTCACGATCACCATCACGATCACCACGATGATGGACATCACAATTACGAGGAGGCAAAGACCTTTGCTGATTTCGTTCGTCCGGAATACAGATAAATGGAGAGGGGACGGGGTGTGGGTGCGTCAACGATGATGAACGAGGGCAGGAATGTAGAATAGTAGAGCGCGAAGTTGACATTCTCATTGATTTTCACTAACCATGCTTGATTTGATCACTTTGAAGGTGCGCTCATGATCGATCTTCAATGCTCAGAGTTTCAATTTTGAACTGCCTATTTCCCATTCTTATTCGATTATTTGGTTTGGTTTAGAATTGCTCCGGTATTCTATGTAAAGCACAAATGTTGCGTATGATTTTGTTCACCCCGAGCTCCCCACCCCCCATTCTTTTTTGAAGCGAACCAACCCCTACGAAATTCCAGCAACTAACCAGATCACACTTTCCCATCCCCCATACCCATATCGCAGCCAGCCCTTTTCCGAGCTCAAACGTATGAATCCGTAGATTTAAAAAAAAACAAGAAAATTCAATCGCCAACCTCCCAAACATGCTTCATTTATGCTCGAGTCGTGAATCATCGTCGCGGTATGCATGTGCATTATGAACAGCTAAACAGCAAAGACCAAATCTTGGAAATTGTGTGACAAAATCAGGGGGTTTTGTCAAAGATACCCCTGAGTTTGTCAAAGGTAGAAAATCTCAATGATTCTGCATGATAAAAAGTACACCAGTCCATTTGTACTGAGATGAAATGGAGGGTGCCTTTTTGCCACCAGTACATGCAATTCGTAAAGGCGGCCGTGGAGAAATATATAATAGAATGATTCCATATTAGTTTGAGGCGAATCGGGAACACATTCGAGTGGGGGGCCTCAAAGTCGAAATGTCGGTTAGCGTTTTTTTGACTTATCTGTGCCGGCACCTTTTTTATCGCCAGATTTGTCTTTCCCGGTTTTTTTGTCTTCATCTGATTTGTGGTCATCTGAATCCGAACTAGAATTAGATTTAGAACTAGAACTGTCACCATTGTTGTTTCGACGCTCAGTAGTTCGGGTAAGAGCTCTTGTCGCTAAAGTGGAGGCGACGAGGGTTCTGTTACTGTGATTATCTCCCTCATATTCGCTTACTTCCGCACTGCCATTGTTGGCTTTACTACGGTGGTTGCCAGGAGTCTGAATAGAGGCTGCTTCACTGAGAGCTCTAGCCCTTGCTACCATCTCAGATGCTTTCTCAGCTGCTCGTTCAGCTCGGATTTGCTTCTTCCACATCTGTGCGTATCGACCCTTCTTGAGTAAAAGCTCGCTATGGGTTCCAGCTTCAGCAACCCGTCCGGCATGAAGAACCAGAATTTGATCTGCGCTGGTAATGGTGGACAATCGATGGCTACAATCAGGTGTGTTAGTAAAATTCAAATGAAGAATGCTTTGAACTCTTACGCGATAACTAGCATGGTACGGCCTTCAGATAAGGTCTTTAATGCTTCTTGTATATGTTGTTCAGTGTCAGAATCCAATGCAGCGGTGGCTTCATCAAGCATGATGATCCGGGGATTCTTGATGATTGTTCGTGCTATTGCCACTCGCTGCTTTTCACCACCACTGAGACGAAGACCTCGCTCGCCAACCTTCGTGTCGTAGCCATCCGGAAACGCCAGTATCTTATCATGGATTGAAGCAGCTCGGCATGCATTGAAAATATCTTCATCGGTTGCATCTTGGTTGGCATATCGGAGATTGTACATAAGAGTCTCATTGAATAGAATTGTGTCCTGTGGTACGACACCAATGTGATGTCTTAACGAATCTATGGTGACATCCCTAATGTCGTGGCCGTCAAGTTGGATACTACCATTCTGGGTATTATAAAATCGAAATAGTAGCCGGAAGACAGTGGACTTTCCTCCTCCGGATTCTCCAACGAATGCTGTAGTGGTGCCCGGTTTACAGGTAAAAGTCAAGTCCTCCAGTGCAGGTTTGCGGGTATCATAGGAAAATTTAACATGATTGAAGTCAATTCGACCCTCGCATGCTGGCAGTGGCTCAGCACTTGACTCGTCAATAACAGTCGGCTCTTCTTTGAACAATTCAAGAAGACGTTCGCCACTGATCATAGCGCTCTGAATCCCTCGATAGAAAGATCCAAAGAAATTCAACGGCTGTTGAAGTTGGCCCATGTATGTGATTAGAGTCACAAACTGTCCCACTTGGCGCTTACCAGTTGTAACTTGGTACGCAGCGATGAAAGAAGTTACAAGAAGTCCAGCCATAAAGACCAAGTTTTGACTGATGTTGAGGATATTCAAAGAAATGGTCACTTTGAATTCCATCTTCTGAAAAGCCGAGACTGCTTGTCGGTAACGATCAAATTCATAAGTCTCAGCATTGAAGTACTTAACAGTTTCATAAGATGTTAAAGAGTCGTTCTTGACAGCATCCTCCTCACGGCTGAGGTTTTGCATTTGTCGACGTTGGTCTGATCGCCATCTTGCCATTCGGATGGTAAGATAAATATAAGAAAATGTGATGATGCTAACCACGAGGGCATAGTATGCGTCGAAAGCATATGCAAAATAACCAATAGCTACGCCAAGATCAAATATCATCGGAAGAACCTGGAAGGTCACTTGCTCAAGGAAATTATTGATGGCGTTACCCTTACTAAGTGCTGATAGGACTTCTCCGGTTCGTTTTCCGAGATGAAAATCCAGGCTCAGACCATGGACATGCTCAAATGAGGCGGTGGTCAAGGCCTTGTATGAGTACTGTGATATTGGAATCCACAGAACCGATCTAGCAGCCCCTAGGATTCCAGAAGAGCCTTGAAGAAACTTGAAAACAATGAGCAGAGAAATAGATACCCACGGCATCGTGGCCTCTTTATCATCACCAGTGAGTGCGTCGGTAACTCTTCCGACTTGCAAAGGGACCGCGATGTTCACTATTCGCTGCATGACGACAAGCAGGAAGCAAACAACAACTACTATTTGCAAGCGAGCCGATCTAGCCGGCCACAGGTATGGAAAGAAGAGCGAATATCCTTTCAAATACTCCCACCACGTTTTCGTTGTAGCCGTTGTAGGCTTGTAAAACGCGGGTACTTCGTCCACACGCTGCTGATCAATCGGTCTTCCGTGAATGTCGGTTTGTGCTGCAGAACCATTCGCAATTACATGACCATTCAATGACACTGAGTCTGCAGCAGACGCATTTGCGATTGAACCGTTTCCGGAGACATGGCCATTTCCATTCGCTCGACCGTTGAAAAGAAGAGGGCTGTTTTCATCAGGCTCACTGCTGGGTTGCCGACTTTTATTTCTGTATTTAAATGAGAGTTCCAGGGTGAAGACGCAATAGAAAGCTACACAGAACAAAAGTAGAACTACCCGAATTGTATCGAGTACAAGCTCAACAATTTCCCATTGGGTTGCGTATTTGTGAAAATCCGGGTCGTACACAAGAAGTGAGTTGAGTTCTCGATGAGCGGAGGTATATAAAGATAACGAAGCGGCCAGAAGCACAAGTTCGCCAACCAGCGCAACCAACCATGTAACCTGATGTGCGATTGAAGGTGATGGTGCTGTGTCGACTAAAGAAATGAGAAAGACACTATAGAAAAAGAGCGAGGCGCAAACGTATATCTGCATTCAACATCAATCAGCATCTGTTTCATGAAAACGCAATCCAGCCAAGTGAATACTCACAGCAGTTGCTTCGCCACACCACCAACCATTTTCCCGTTTGTCGAGAGCATGTACTACAATGTTGATCGCATTGCCGAGAAAAGTTACCAGAATACCAGCCGAAAGCCAAAGAAACAATAACTTCCGAACAGGACTGAAATCCTGCGACTTGAGCTTATCTCTATCTTGTTTTGTCTTCCTCACAGATCGTGGCAAAGGTTTTCCCCCAGGACCTGTGAGCATCGGTCCAGATTCATCAGAATATTCCGCAGTTAAGATGCTGTGTGTGATGAATGAGGCAAGGAAGACGACCAAAAGAATCCATGGATAATTGAAATGTGTGAGGTCCAGTATTGTTGCTGTGGTATAAGTACCAGTTCCATTCGAAAAAATATTAGAGCTTGAGCTCAAGACTCCGTCGACACTCGCCATTACAAGTTATATTATTGGAAAGAATCCCCTTCCTCTTCTCTCATCAGTATACCGGGTTTGAAAGCGATCGCGGACAGCTCATAACCCTTTCGGCTGGGACGGGACTTGTCTTGATGTTGTATCTTGAGGGAGTGCGATGCCGAAGTAGATGTGGCTGGCTGTGTGGCGATACCGAGGTAAAAACGATTGAGATTAGACTGATACCTAAAGGAAATTCAAAGATGTATGATCAGCGAAAGTATTTCGATTTATAGGACGTTCATCTGCGATTTGCGGTGTACCCAGCAAATGCAGTTGTCCGAGTAGAAAAGATGGTCAATGAATGTGGTGGAGGTAAGTAATAAGTGATGGGTGGCGGAGATGATGGTGGGGAATCTTCACTCAAAAAATACTTTAATAGTAGTTCTCGTAGACTCGTACTAGTTAACTAAAATTCCTAACTTGATGTTTGAATTATAAAGTGAAGGTAAAAGTACTCGAGTATAGATTAAGAAGAAGATTAAGATGAAGAATGGTGATGAGATGAGATGAGATGAAATATATAAGACAAGACAGTAGAGTAGTAAGTAAGTATGTAAGTAAGTAAGTACTCGTAGTAAATATCAATATATAGATTGGAATATTGAAGTTCAGAAAAGTATAATAAAACCATTAAACTTCCAAAGAAGAGTAGAGAGTAGAGAGTAGAGTAGAATGATGATCAAATAAAGAAATTTAACTTTTTTTTTTTGAATATATCTTACCTTTGATTTAGCACTTTTCAAACTCTTTATACTCCTCTCTCTCTCTTTGACTTCCTTCTACTCCAGTCAACGACTTCCTTCTAGATCTACTGTGCCCTCTCAACAGTTGTCTTTCTCAATACTCTTGGCTGCCTTCTGATTTCCAGTTTCTGACTTCAAATCTTCTCAACTTTTTCTGATCGATCCAAATATTGGGACCCGGTTACCTGTAAAGGGGACTGTGAATGTCGACAATACAATAACTCGTAGATGCGCCAGCTGTGTGCAAGGTGTATGTGTGCAGGGACTTGGATGGGGAAGTACATGCAATATAAAAAGCCAAATCCTTGAGTTTCAATATTAAAGACTGTGAATAAAGGGTGATTCCGTTTCTCGAATCGTTCTAATTGATTGGAGTTTTGTTTGGTATGTTTAATGATTGGGTGAAGTGGATGAAAGTTCTTATATTGCAATGCAGTGAATTGTTGTATTGTGAATTTCTCTCGAGTTCCGCTTCTTTTTTTGCTTTTCTCTGTTTCCTCTCGTATTTTCATACCGGTATCTCTGTTAGATGTTTCGTACTATACTTCTAAAGTAGTAGTTGATGAGAGCCTCTTCCCTTTTCTTTGACCGCCAGGAGAGCACAGGCTTGATAGTCAATCAAGCAAGGCTGCATAGTGTGCTTCGGATCCAAATGAATTTGTAGCGTCAGTACCGATATAATGTCCACCAATTGGATAGGAGGTGCTATGGGGACTACTTGCTTGATGAAGGCTTCTATAGCCTCCTATGCGCTTTGGATTACTCCATCGATTTAAAGAGGAAGAGTTTCCTGAATAATGATGAAGGTTGGGAGATTGAAGGTAAGCTGCTGGAAGACAGGCTGAAATTCGCTCCACATAGAGTTTAAGTCGTGATTGATATTATACTGTACACTGCATATTTGCCTATTTAACAATTTTTCCCGGGATGCGACCCATACATCACATCATCAATTGTATATAAGTACTCCGTATGCAATATGTATCATGCACCGATGTATGTGGTTGACAACTGGTGTAACAGGTAGATACCGAACGGTAGCGAGGTTCAAAATATTGTTGCCCAGAGATGACTCGGTATTTGGTACATTCACGAGCGTCCTTGGCTTGGCTACTAGCTGATGACTGGGATGGAGAGGAGATTGCTCATGGAAAGGGAAATTCGAGCAACAACAAGGCTTTAGACTTCATATTCCAGATTTTAGATTTCAGACTTGGACTTGGACTTCATACATTCGTGAGGGTATAGCAGCACATATTATAAGGGGGCCCACGACGTTACAGAAACACTATTAGTACTGTACACCTACGCTATGATGAGGATGTCTCGGTAAGTGTTGTTACCTCCGTGTTGTTATTATTATACAAGAAGTACAAAGCACTTGTTACAGAAGAGTACTCGGATTGTATTTCGAATCTAATGTCTACAACTTGCTTGTACGCTTGTACAGTGCCGGTATGTACCGTTATTATCATTATCATTCACCCCAGTATGAAATAGGCCTAGGCCTAGGCCTTTACGATCTAATGGCACCACAGTTGCAACACCAACCGAAAAGCCACAGTAGGTCTGAGCGCCCATCCTTCTACGCAAAAAAGCCCACCCATCTCATCCCTGACACAGTAATACTAGAATTTCCCGCTAAAGCACTCTAGAATGAATCAGGATCGACTGCATGTCAGATATTAGCTTACTGACACGTGGTAGGTCATAGCCTAGATCTATCCATGTACTTGTTTGAGCAGGAAATAAGTAGCTATTGTATGGGCAACTGCATGATTGCTATATATTGTATGATATACTACGCAAACCTTCAGTCGGGGAAACGAAGAATGCCATTCCGTGAAAAGTACGATAATTTACATCCAAACAGAATGTTTTCAGATTCGAGTCATCATATAACTCCCTGGATCGGTATATAGTAAATACTACTGTGTTATATTCTGGTAGCGAACTCCGATCTGGCTTACAACTTACGGCAACATCCATCCTCTCCAGCATTGGCTTCTCTAACCCCTCGTCACGACTAGCCAAAGCACTACAGATTGACAGATATCTACCAAAATACTCCCGTACCTCGTTTATTGCCAATATAGAGACTCTATACCTTGATGTGATGCATTACTACCATCGGGCAGATATCATACATATCCCATACATATCACATATGTCGCGGAATTGGGCAGAGCTGCCGTGACACTCGGGCCGACCCCGCAGATGCGTAACCAAAACTTGATCTAATTCATACATACAGTGCGGCACTTTAAGATTCATAATATAAATATGCCCTCCAATATTGCGAAAGGGTTGATTGTCCACCCCCAATAATCAACAACGGGCATCCCACTTTACCTCAAGGCTCACGGTTTCGATCGAGATTGGCGGTGAGTGAGGCGTTCGGAGGCTTTTAGAGTTGGCCGGGGTGGACTTTTCTTGTCAGATTTGTTGTCATTCTTTCAAATTCCTGCACAATGTTATCATCTCATATATTAGAGGTACAGTACATAGGTATTAGGTACTAATTCTAATTCTAATTCTAATTCTAATTCTAGTTAATGTATCTAGAAAATGAACTAGGCGTGCTAGTCATGCTCGCCTAGCTATATTTCTTTCTTCGAGAAGGAAAAAGACTAACGGTATTGTGGGGGTGCGGAAGAGCCATTTTCTTCTTTATTTTCCTTTTCAGCCACAGTATGCCTGCCACCTCATAATTTACAACGAACCGGTGAGCTAAACGTTATTTTTTACGATTGCTAATAAAGCTTCAAGTCCATATATCTCGTGAGTGTGAGGTAAAGGGGCTCGAAACTAGGAGCCCGATGATCGGTTCTCTTCTCGAACTATCTTTCGCACTGCCCTACCTCGCCGATCCCACTCTCATAGAAGACCAAATTCAATCGGCGATTAATGTTGAGTCGTTGACTGATGCATCATGATCACACTTGATTGAAAAATTCGGATCCGGGTCAATCTATCTATCTTTCATCACTCTTGTCGGCTTTGCTGCTCACTCATATGCCAACAATATTTCTTGCATCTCCGCCGCTATCACATTTAGACATAAGCTTCTAGGTACTAGGTAGTAACCTATCCGATCCGAAAAATTCGGAATGTCTTTTCTCTCTTCGGGGTCAAAATCCTGGTCACAACAAACACTTAAAGGAGAGTGGTCACACTTATCCTATGAGTCTGACAGGTCGAAAGATAGCAGGACATCTGCACCAACCTTCCACTTCAACGTATTCTTTGTTTCACTCATACCCAAATGGGCCACTCTGCGCAGTTTATGGACCAGGAAATTATTGCAAACATCATTTGGCGATGGAGTATGAGAAATTTGTTTCATTACGAACGTTTTTTCAGGAACACTTTCTGCTGCATATCGCTCCAAATGTCACCTCAACACATCCATACCCTTCTCGCAGCGCTCCATGCTGACATCAGCACATGCATGCTGCGAAGCCCACCTCTCCCCGCGAACCATATTTCTCGATCTGTCCCTGCATATATGAAAGCTCCATTTAGCCTTAACATTCAATCCTTGGTTTGCATCCGTATTTCTCATCATACATGAAAGAGATGAGGAGAACGTTACTTTACTGCACGAAAACATTACAGTATAATGACAGTTCGTATATACACGGATGTCGGACATGGCAGCTACCAATTTAAGAAGCCGACCGAAACTAAGAGATGTGCCTACTAATATAGCATGGCTTGACAAGAGAGGAAAGCCGTCGTCAATGGTCCTTGAAAATGCCAAGCCACCGGCATATCGTTGCACGCCACGCATATATATCACACGTCTTTGCCCGAGAAGCGGTACCACCATTCAAGTCCTACGGTTCACATTGAAAGTGTCGCAAGAAAGAGGCATAACACACGACATTTCGGCCAACAGTCGAAGTTTTCCAGCTACCCGGCGAGTTGCCGATACTCACGTTTCTCTCGTACAACATTTGAATCAATTTTGTGACCAGAGAAAGTGACACAAGCAATCTTGAAACGAGTTGCATGATTATACCGCAAAACAACGCCAAAAACCGAGTGCTGAAGAGGAAGAGGAGGAGCTAGAGGAAGAGCTAGAGGATTTGGAAGTGGAAGCGGCTGCCGCTGCGCTACTGGTAGTCGCCGATAAGTTTCCCACATTAGTGTTCCCATAAACTATATTTGGTGGAACGGCCTCGAGAGACATCCATGCAAGCATGTCATCTCGACGTCCGCCACAATATCGTCCCATGTCTCCCACAGTATCCTGTCACATCTTGTCATATCCTTTCGTGTCCTCGACATCTAACATCCTCTCATATCAGCCATTACTCCCTTCACATGTCGCAACAAAATCTTGCTTCGCGCAGAGCAATCACTTGATCGTACAAGTGCGATCGAATCCACACAGCTTTCCTCATATTTGTGATATCTTTACCGCCGTTTCAAAGTTTTGCATTGAGCTGCAGCATTTGGTTTCCTTTGGTGACAGGTTGAGCTGCATGACGATGCAAAAGTGTAAAGGATCGATCAGTGGGTACCTGGAAAGCTTGCGAAGATTTAGGTTATTTCGATTCATTGTTGCGAGAAATACACTCTCCCAGGCTTAGTACAAGACAAATGACTCGAGTTGATCATGTTTACGTCGTGCTTCGTTATGTCTTCTTACTTCTGAAAAATGGAGTTTCAATATTCAGATTGAATGATCATTGGGATATACTGGTAGTACTTACAAGCTTTTTGGGATTCAAAACTTATATGCTCAAATAAAAATTGAATATTGGACGATTACCCGATCAAACTTGGGGTTGGTAAACAAAAGAGTAAGATGCTGAAAGTTCGCATCTCTAATTTATAATGTCGCTGTGTCGTGCTCGCTATTCAAGTAAACATACATGTGTGGTTTATCCATTGGTCCAGCCTGACCACGGCCTCGCCTATACTATATATATCAAACAGTGAACAAACACCTCAACCAAAAAGGCGAATTAGTTCGGTGGGCAAGAGCTTGACTTCGGTCAGGAAGGCGTTTAATACACCAGTTAGGCACAAACAAGTTACGAAAAAGCCGGCTTGGCCACATCCTCGGGGAGATGGGAGAATTTATTCTTTTGCATTTTTTTTCTCTAGAATACAGAAGGGAATTCGTCTTCCATCACAAATAAACTTCGCGCTGCTTCAGACCGCAGGATCCACTTGGTCTCGCTTATTGCCAGTTATATCTCTCCTCTCTCATCTCCTCTTCTCATCTCATCTTTCATCGCACTACAGTCAGACAGACCGCGTTCTCTTTCTCCTCTTCGCGAACCCCGCCATCATCATCATCATCACTCCCCCAAAACCAATCTCCTCTCCACCCTTCTTCTGATTCCTACCCACTTCAATAACAAATTAGTATAAGAACTAAAAATCAAACCAGCAAAACTGCAATGATCCAACAGAGACTCCTTCGTTACGGGATTCTTTTCGAGTCTGGTCCGCGAACCTAGCATTTTACCCCTCCATCACCAGACCGCGTCTGACTTCGACAAACAAGCATGAATGTCAGATTTTGCGACCTAGAAGGGTAGTTTGGCTCAAGAGGGCTATACAATAGAGCTATTTCGTATATGGTTGTTATTCAAAGTAAAGTGATTATGTAGTTGAAAGCCACAGATGACATGCATACATACGTACAATCCTCTTCCAAGTACGTAGCCCTTACCTCCAATCCTGCCCTCGCAATTCTTATAACGGTCCCATTCAGATTCACATCCTAATCCCCATCATTCATATCCTACCTAGTCCATCGTTTTACCTCCCTGTCGCAAACACTCTAATTACATTTCATTAATACGGTACTGTACCCAATCCTATACATACAACAAGGCAACATCATGTCCAGAATCCAGCATATTCTATTATGTCACAAATACTCACCCTAGTAAAACTATTCCTCAGTTCAAATCCACTTCGCAATGTAAATCTTGCCAATACCGGTACCCACTCATCCCTATCAATGGAGATCAGTTGTATATCTGTGTTTATATCTCAGATATACAGGAATGGAATGGAATGATTCATTTGTTCCTCATACGTGGTCGTTTACGGATAGATATGCTAGGAAATTTGATGAACATGGTGGATATTTGGAGCTGTGAAAATTCATCATGTGCATGGTTATTGCACGATGCGAAAGATGGG